CCCATATTTTAAAAAGCTAAATATTCTCAAAGGTAAAGAAACTCGGTTACAAAATACAATACAAAATGGTTCCACTACAAGACATTGTAGAAAGATGTCTGGCAGAACACTTATTGCAAGAGAAGCAACATTATGATGTTTCATGCATGTCTTTACTCAACACACTATTTTGCACATTTAAATCCAGGACAAATGTAACAGTTGGAAATACTGAACCTCAGAAGAAGTGTGCAGTGTGGGCATCGCATGGTCTGATAACTGGAAGAAGACAATATATTCTGTAATTTAACAGTCCAATTTGAGTTGCAAAAATTTGGGTCACTACATTATCTCAATAAACTGTGAATAGATTTTCTGTTTCCCCCCCACTGTAAGTCTATGATTATGTGAAGTAGCAACACAGAGTACAGCATTATATTGCTAACAGCCTTGATGTGAATTACCAATAATATTGCACCTCCGAAAAGTGGTACTCAGAGTCTAAAAGATCTGAAAGGAAATCTTTGGCTGTTCTTTATTGTGCATAAGTCGCAACTTGGAAATCTGCAGATGGGCAAGATTAAGACAAATACTGAAGAAATAGGTGACCAATTATGGATTTTTGCAGTCTTTTAGTGAGACAGATAAGAAAACTGATATCACTCTGCATGTTTAATTCACTTTCATGCCAGGCCAAGAAATAGTCATGTCATTTTTGCACCTCAGTTTTTGCATGGATTTAAGTTGCAGGTCCCACAGCAGCTTTGTCCTTCTCTCTATGTATGTGCTACTTTTTAAAAAAATCTTTTCACAACAGGACACACCACAATTATCTCATATCTCAAGGCAGCAACATACACAAGGATTTTTTTTTAAAATTATTATTATTATTTTTTTGCCAAGTGAATTATGTGTTTTGCAGAAGTTGTTTCCCCCCTTTTTTCTGTGAATTATAATAATAATAATAATAATAATAATACATTTTATTTAATAAGGCGCCTTTCACGGCACTCAAGGTCGCCTTACAATAAAAGCAATACAACATACAATGGAACTCAGAAAAAATACAAATACAAATACAATTTTAAAAAAAACAAAAAAAAAACAAGCAGAGCAATTATCTATTTTAATGCTTGCAAATGTTCCACCAAAACAATTCCAACGTCACAATTTTGAACAAACACTGTCAGCATCCTATTCTCAGCCCTGCTCAAGATGATTATGATTGGTTTAAAGAAACAGACACTCCAGCACTTCTTCTTCTTCAACGGGAGAGTAAGGATTAGGGCGCAGTCAGACCGTTCAACACAACGCTGTGTTTGTACCAAGGAATAGTCTTGGGATACAGAGACTGTGTTCTGACAAATAATAGTATGTTTAAAGGTAATTATTACCTGTGTTTTGGGAATGAAAAATGGATGAGCAAATATTTCTGAAAGTCAAATGAGGACAAACCTAAATCTCACAAGTCTTTCTTAAGAAAAAGATGAAAGCTGTTAGGCAGCGAACACCCTGGATCGATTCTCCCGTCTCCGTGTTATCATATATTCAGATCTGAACTTCCAGTCAAACAATGTGAAGAAAACAACATTTCTTCCCCCTTTCCCCACTGCTAATCTGATTATCACGCTTTTTACTGGCCTTTTCTAAAAACGTACCCAGTGAGAACTATTAACCAGCATGAGGAGGAGAAAATACATCAGTCCAGTTGTAGCTGGTCTGCACTGACTTCCTGTAACGTTTCACATCGATGTTAAGGTTTTCCCTACAAAGCACTTAATAAGGTGGGATCAAGCAAGGTAGTTAGTTCCCTTGTTAACTATTTGCCTTTAAGAACACTGCAGTCATCTGCTGCTGGTTTATTGGAGGATCCCAAAAGAAAATCAAGGATGCAGCCTTTGTCAGTTACGTCCCAAAGTCATGGAACAATAGAGATCTCAGGGAAGCCAGCCTGTTACATTTTATGAAAAGAAAAAATCATAACTTTCTTTTGCACTTCAGCTTTACACTGCTTCACTTTATTACAATGTTATGATATAAATCAATCTTTTATGTTGAGTGGGCTTTATTTTCCATCTCATGTTATGTGTAATTTGTATTCTAATTCCATTTTTGTTTGATGTTATTTTATTACATAAGTGATCACATGTGTGCATGCTGATTCTATGTATATTTTTAATGCAAGCATTCAATTGTAAATCACTTTGGGCTCAGTTTCTTGTATGAAATATGTTATATAAGTAAGGCTAACACTATTATTATTAGAAGTTTCACAGTATCACTGGCCATTAAACAAATGCTTACAGTATGCCGTTGTGATAAACGTTACACTTACACGCAGCCTGAAAGTGTGTGTTCTTGTTTGTGCGGCCTTGTGTGTTTATGCTTGTCTTGTATTAGGTTACCATTAACTGACCACAAACATAATGGACCCACTTAAGAAATGACATACTGTGTAGGCGCATACGTCTACGCACGCACACACGCACACACTTTGTCACTGCATCATTACATTATCTCCCTGATGTGAAAGGCTGTAATGCTGCTGCTCCTCGAGAGTGTATTGAGAACGGCTTGTATTGTATGTCGCAATTATTGCACAGTTGTCGATAATGGCGCAGTTTGTAATTTGTCACAGTACATTTAGACTCAGTGCTCTTATGCTGGGGGGGTCTTTAAGTTCAGAGTCAGATTTCTTATTTCATTGCTGTTGATGTTCAGAAATGTGACCAAATGATGTGTAATGGAGACACATTGGACATTTAGATTTGTCTGAGTGGCCACATTTACAGTTATGACATTTTTAGGAGTTTTTCACAGCCACTTACAAGAAACTGTAAACGGTCCTGATGGTGTCCCAGTGTGAACTGAGTGTAAAATACTCTTTCAGCATTTCAGTATTCAGTTACATAAATGTGTAAAAGATGGCACTTTTTTCATGCGTCAGAATCTATTTAGGAAACACAGTCAGTCTGCAACGGATGAAGCGCTTTCTCATGTCAGATTATCAAAATATGTGTATATATAATAATATGCAGCGACTCATTTGGAAACTTCATCTAAACTATTCTTTTTTTTCTTCCTTTTGTTTCTTTTTAAAATATATATATATATTAAAACAAAACATACTTCTTCTTTTTTTTTTTTTTTTTTTAAATGAGAATCCCTTGAATTTGCATTTTAAGGAATCCAGACAAATGTATGCACTGAGCTGGACATTTCACAGTTTAAAATAAACTTCTGTAACTCTGACAGGACTGCTATACTCCTCTGTAACATTTGGCATCTTTTATTGTAATTTCCTCACATTTGTCAACTTATATACGCTTATCTGAACTTGTTACAGTTTATGTACAGGCCCTTTGAGGGATCGATTTAATTCAGTTCAATTTAGTTGTATTTAAATAATGCCAATTCACAACAGACTGTATGTCGTCTCAAGTCACTCCACATGGTAAGTTCAAGACCTTACAACATTTATACAGAGAACCCAACAAAACCAAAAGCTCCTGTGGATTTTTTCTGGCGACAGTGAAATGGTGAAAATTTTAAAATAAAAATAAATATCCAGCAGAACCAGGCTGCCTCAAATGGTTGGGGTGAGGGTGGGGTTGCGAGGGGTAAAACAAGTGAAGACAGCAGCTGGAGAACAAACAAACAATACATAAGAAAACAATAAAGACTTTGGAAATCGGTGAGGCCGGTGACTGCTGATCAGAAAAGTGTAACTCCAGATCCAGAGAAGACAAAAAACAGACTACAGCAAGAAAAGATGCAAAGTTAGTGGTGTGATGGTGTTTTAACTGTATGGAAGAGTCAAAGAGGAGCGTGGAGGAGAGGTGCTCAACATCACAATGTTAACCGTAAAACCTATACAAAGAACAACCTATTTTGTTTGGATGTTCATCATAAGTAATGAGGTTAAATGTGGCCATTAAGGGGTAACTGATAGCAGAGAGCGCAGGGCCAAACCAAATGGGAGTAATACCCTCTGGTCAGCCGAGTTCCCGGTTCAACTACCAGCCGGTCAGACGTTTGCTTCACATCATTCCTCTGCTCTCTTTCCCCACATTTCCTGTCCTGTTCTGCTCTATCTATCAGTGCAAAATGCTCGAATGTAAGAAAATAAAAAGGCCATTATGACCAATTTGTACACATTTTGAGGAATACGTGATAAAAGAAACAGCTTGATCTCAGATTGAAGACACAAAAAGTCCCTGACTGAAGTAATTTTTAAAAAGTCTCTCTTGTAGTCCAACATTTAGGAGGCCAGTGGAACATTTTGCAAGACTAACAGATAAAAACTGCCTTTTGTCTGTCTCTGGCCCATTCACTGAGCAAAAAATACACCAACAAACAAAGCAGCCCAGTAGATTGGTAACTCTTATTAAACAGCTCAACTTGCTGTGTTTTATGGTGAAAACGGGCAGGTGTGGGGGTTAGATTCCCTCCGAGTCTCTCATTTACACTAAAGCATGAATGAAGTGATGAAAAATATTAGAAACCCACGAAAAGGATGTCAAATATGTGTCTGCAGCAAGTGAAAGTGGATATTGATCGGTGTTTTGGACTAATGATCTATGTGCTTGTGCGTCGTTAGGGTGTTTTCAACTGCAGGCAGAGATGTGGAGAGAAGAGGCATGGGGAGATGGGGATTTGTGGTGGAGAAAGAAAGAGATAGAGGGAGGGGACAGAAGAGACGTTTTCCTCTCACTCATTCGAGTAACGAAAGGGGTGGTCCAGTTTGTATCATAAAAAACAAAGACAGCGAGGGAGAGGAGAGAAACACTGAGCTGAAGTCATCAAATATGCAATGAGGCAGATGAACACGGGACACAACGAAGAAGGACACATTTGAAAATTAGGACCACATTTCTCCTGTTAACTTTCCTGATATTCAAACGTTTTACCATCACACTTGCAAGAAGGCACCTGTTGGGGCAGGAGAACTTTTTTGCACTTTTCTCTCAGACTTAGGAAGCTCCGAGTCACTGCTCCCTGAAACACATCGACAAGCAGCCATGGGCTCCATGGTGTGGGGCTGCATCACTGACTTCTTCACCTACGAGACCACCAAGTCTGTCGTGGTCAAGAGCTGGTCTGTGGGAATCATCAACCGGATTGTACAGCTGCTCATCATCACATATTTTGTCGGGTCAGTAGCCTGGGTTTTGTTTTTGTCTTCATTTTCTTTTCTTTTTTTGCATGATTTGTGTGTAATTGTCATTCTTTCCCTCTTGGTTTGCATGTTTTAGTTTGCATATTATTCACCACCTCTAAAAAAAAATAGCTAAATTTAAAGTGTGATTTCAAACTGGAGGGTAAATCTAGGGACTTACAGAAAGTTTCAGACTCCCAGTGAATTCAGTCCAGACACAAGACTCTTACTTTTAAATGCTTCTCTAACCGAACTCTGTTGAATCTTTTGTGTTGTGCTGCAGCTGGGTCTTCATCTATGAGAAAGCTTATCAGGTGACCGACACCGGCATCGAGTCCTCCGTGATGACCAAAGTAAAAGGTTTTGGTTACCATAACAACCGTGTGATGGATGTGGCCGACTACGTCTCCCCTCCTCAGGTGTGCGACCTCAAATTATGTCTTTTTAACTCCAGCACCAACACAAATATGACCTTTAACCCTTTATGGGGCAAGTGACTATATTTGGTAAATTCCTTGGACGTTCAATTTGTCCACCCTTGAGGTTGAAGAACCATGTGCACTTTGATTTAGTTTTTATTTTAGTGCCAATATCATCACTACCTTACAAAAAACGTCACTAAACAAATGTTCCAGGCACTTTATAAACACTTTGTTACTGGTTTGCATCCACTTTGATTTATTTTTTGAGATTAGTGCCACTAATACCACTACCCCAAGAAAAATGTTACTAAATGAACTTGCCAAGCACTTTATAAATACTTTGTTAGTGGTTGTGTAATTATCATTACCTCAAACTAAATGGATCAGTTTTCTATAAAATGTTCTGCTGTGTTTCAGGGTACAGGTGTTTTCTGCATTATGACCAAACTCATCATCACCGAAAATCAGTTCCAAGGACGATGTCCAGAGGTGATGATGCATTCAAATCCATGTTCTTGCTGTGTTTCACCAGTTATATATCAGCTTCAGTTGCATTTGAAGCACTTTTCCTTGTCGTACTATTGAGCTGCAGTGTTGCCTCACATCATCAGTCAGCATTATTCTGTCACTATGTTTATCCCAAATGTAGCATTTAGAGTCTGCAGACTTGATCTATAACGATAATTTAAAGTAAAACAGAGAAACATAATTTGAATAATTTCACTAAACCAATGAAAGAAACAGTTCACTGTGGTCAGCTTTATCTTTCTGTGTGTTTTTCAGACCGGCAAGAGATTTATTTGTAGCAAAGATGAAGACTGCAAGAAGCATTTCGGTTCCATCCTCTCCAACGGTGAGTCTCATTTATTTAAATATAATTTTCACATCATTATTTACGTTAAGATTACAAAGTTACCTGTACACGTAGAAGCAAAAGTTTTTCCAAGTTCGCCAAGTATTGATAACATTTGCTTCTATTAGCATTTGATGCTTGTGTTTCTGTGGTTACCACATGAATGAATTCAGGAATAAAAGTTGTTATCAGCTGCTAAACAAATGCTAAGGGAATCAAATATGTTTTTTTTACCATGTAACATAATACATTTTAAAGATGTTTGAACCAACTTGCCAAAAAACAAAATATCCCCAAACTTCTTTTGATCAGGCTGACAAAACTGGTTTTAAAGTTAATATTCACAGATTATTGCAACAGAAAGTTATTCACAGACGACTGGGCTGATCTCTGTTAAGAGTGAAGTGTCATTCTTTATACCATCTTACCTTAATTACTAACAAAATTTCACCTACATTTTTAGTTGCAATTAAGAAATGACAATTGTTGAAAATTGTTTTTGTGTTTTCCATACTACAAACAAATGAAAAATACAGTCACTTTATTTTCCTCTTCTGTATTGTTAATGCAGAAGCTCTTTTTCAAATTATGATTACTTTTCTCTTTAGAAATAACAAGAACCACGTCATTTACTGTTTTTTTTTGTTTTGTTTTTTTAATTTGCCTGAGACAGCTGTGGCCAGAGGCAACATGTTTTCAGGTTGTCCATGAATCCAATTCTTGTGAAAACTATATCTCTAAATAGCCTTGAGAGAATTTCTTAATAGTTACCAGAAACATTCATTTGTACCTGAAATTAAACTGAATAGAATTTGGTGGTCAAAGGTCACTATGACTTTACAAAACACATTTTTGAATTCATACTCTCAAGACCTGACAAAATTTCACACAGATGTCAAAGGGGATAAAATAATGTAATTGTGTTTTTTATATTTGTTTAGATACTGAGCTGGTGACACTGATCTTGTGTCCATTTTAAATGTGCACATCCTCTGTGCTTTCTGGTTGAAGATTTATGTGAAGCATTTGCAGCAACATTCATATTTGAAGACTTGCTGCTGTCATGGTTACAAATTTCTTTTAAAACAATGTCCAAATTACAAAATTTATTAGAGCCAGAAACATGAAAACATCCTGAATTGTCAGATTTTTAACTTTCTGAACGTCTTTAAACTACTCCTCTGTTGTTTCATGGGAAAACCAAAAGTTAGTTTAACAATATTTCATTACAGTAGCATTATTCTATAAATCTCATTTTAAAAATTGTAAAACAAACACACACATAAAAATGTTTTCTTTAACCAGATTCTGGTGAGAACAAATCATTTGAGTTCTTTGGTGCAACCGTGAAGCCATTAATGACTCTGACAGTCAATATTCAGGAACTTTTCAGATTAACTGCAGGCTGTGTTTATACAGAGCAGATGGTAGTATGGAAACAAATTCAAAATGTAAATAGCAAATTTGTTGTAACATGTGGAGTCAGCATTGTTTCCAGTATTGGTAACTGTAAATAGTATCTGTAGGCACCTGGAAAAGTGTTGTATCAAAGAAATGTAGCGTTTGTTTGTGCTTTTTCTATGACTTATTGCACAAAAGACAGTTCTGACTTCTCTCTACTTCTGGTCATGGCTGTAACATTTCCATAGAGGTGCAGGACTTTATGTTGTTGTGAAAAAGGGTCCGGCAGTGAGTAAAAGCCACTCTAAACTAATCAAAACCGACTGGGGTTCAGAGAATATTAACTTAAAAATAAGTAGAGTATGAGCTAAAAATATGAAAGTGAGGCTCATCTCTCCTCATTCATGCTTTCTATAAATGATGTAATACATTTAAACTTTTTACTGTTGATTACCTCAGAGATTTACAGTCAGCTGCTATTATGGTTGTCACTGTACTAGCCAAAACATATCTAGATCATTTTAAAAATGATGAATGTCTGACTTGAACTGATCTGAGAATTATGATTCAGCACAATATTTCTCCTCTCTTTCTGTCTCACATACCAGGTGTAATAACTGGTGTCTGCGTTAAAAATGAAAGTGAGTCAAAAGGTTGGTGTGAGATTGAAGGATGGTGTCCAGCTGAGAATGACAGCATCGCTGTGTAAGACTTGTGCTCGTCCAGAAACACAGATAAGCTTATGCATGAGATGACATTTCCTTTATCGAAAGTCTCAACTATCGTCATAACCCTTCCTTCTCTATCCACAGCGAGCCAATGCTGGATGTGAAAAACTTCACCATCTTCATCAAAAACAGTATTCGCTTCCCACTCTTTGACATCACCAGGTGGGTCACATGCAAACACACACATTCACAAAATATAGCAGCTGAAAACGTCACGACAAGTTGTAGTAAAAACTTTGTAAAATATTTCAAAATCATACACTCTGCTTAAAAAAGGTGATAAAAAATGTTTTTTCATAAACACCCAACACAAGGTTTTCTTTACAGAGGGAACTTTCCTTCCTCAATGACGTCCAACGAGATCAAGACCTGCACCTACCATCCAGAGACACACCGCCTCTGCCCCATCTTTCGAGTGGGCGATGTGCTGAACTACACTGGGCAGAATGTGGCTGATCTGTCAGAGAAGGTCTGACCTGTCCTCAGAGTTTCCTCCACTCTTCATCCTAAAAGCTAAAATGTTGCAACAGTGCAGTTTAGTAGTCATGCGAGGAAATGGAATTAGAGTTATTCTACTGTTAAGGATGAACGCAGTTTTAGTTATGGCAGAGAGTTTCACATCTTCTCTGTGTAGATGATACGCTGATTTGCCACAACATCAAACTAGCAATAGTGAAAAACATTGATTATCTTGTTATAATGGCACCCATCAAGGGCAGGTGAACAGTAAGTTCCTGACGTTAATGTGTTCAAAGCAGGACCAAAGGGGGCAGCATAAAGATCTGAGCAACTTTTAGGGCCAAATTGGAATCAGAGCATCTCCAAAATTGTACTTATCAAAAGTGGTCCAAGGAAGTGCAGTTGGTGAAGCAGTGACAACATCTAAAGTTTTCTCATACTTGTGGGTAGTGCAGGTGGACCTGTGTGGTCCTCACAGAAGAGCTACTAAATTGCTAAAAACCTTAACAATAGTAAGGTGTTGAAACATGCAGTGAGTGGCAGCCTGTTGTGCTGAACCGTCCACTGCTGAAAGCACCTTCAATAGGCATGAGAGCATCAGAACTAAACCGTGGAAAAAGATTTTTAATCTTTTACATCAAGGAATGTAGGTGGTCAGCAAGATGCACTATGGGAAGAAATAAACAAGTGGAATCAGTGCGATGCTCTGTGCAGTGTTCTGCTGGAAAACTTTGGGTCCTGACATTAACGTGGATGTTACTTGAACACGTAGCACCTATCTAAGCATTATTGCAGATGATGCACATCCCTTCATGGCAACAGTATTCTCTCATGGCCTCTTTCAGCAGTGTGATGCTCCCTGCAACACTGCAAATGTTGCTCAGGTATAGTTTGAGGAATAGAGTTCAAGGCATTGACTTGGCCTTGATCTCCGTTTAGTCATGCATCCGTGGGATGTGCTCCAGGAACATGTCTGATCTATGGAGCCCCCACCTTGCTACTTCCAGTAATTAAAGGATCTGCTGCTCGTGTCTTGGTCACCTTCAGAGGTCTTGTGGAGTCGAGGCCTCAACAAGTCAGAACACCTACACAATACGAGGTGTTTTAATGTTGTGGCAGACTGTATGTACACAAATATTCATTCATCTCCTTCCTCTCCTCATTTGACACGATGGCTTCATCACACCAATATTTAAAATGGTTAAATTTGGTGCCAAATCTAATCAACTGAAATGAAATCACTGCAATTTTAAGTGCTGGGCTAACTCTGAATACCAGAGGTTCCCCTCATGTTTACCACATAATTAGAGCTTAATATCTCTTTTCCAATCTTTCTCTCACAGGGAGGAGAAATAGGAATAAACATTCAGTGGAAGTGTAACCTGGACACGGACATCGAAAACTGTAAACCCGAGTACACGTTCACACGACTGGATGCTCCGTTTGCCAAGAATGCCGTTTCCAAAGGATACAACTTCAGGTGGTAAAGCTGAATTTTTCTCCAGTTAAAAAAAAAAAATCTCTTTCATGCTTTCATCACTTTATTTTCTTCTATGTTAATACAGATTTGCCAAATATTTCAAGACAGACAACGGGACAGAATTTCGGACTCTTCACAAAGCATATGCAATCCGCTTTGATGTGATGGTCACTGGCAATGTGAGTTGCATTGAATAGTGGCAGCCAAGAAGTTGCATGTGTGTCTGTGTAAATTTAAAATGTATTAAAACCTTTTTTGGGGGGGGAGAGAACACTTTATTGCAATTACTGCAACTCAATTTGCTGAAAAGATGTTTAAGGTGAAAAGGTTAATACTATAAAGTGATTGTAACTGGAGCAAAATGTAATATTATTATTTGCCCACCTTGTTAATTTGGATGCCACTGAAACCCTGTAAAGGTTTGATATTCAGAAATATATGTATTTGGTCAAAGAACATTAAAGACATTTACACAGAGCTTAATATGTGAACGTAGCACAAAGACAGGAAACAAGGGCAAGCAGTTAACCTGTCCCACATAGAATCCTCTGTACAACCAAAATTTGTAAGATTTTTGTACTTGTAGGAATTATTTAAACACATAAAATATGTTAATTAGGGGCTGGTACTGATTTTTAAACTTTGAACATTGCCAGCAAGTATGCATATTTTGCACTGTGAAAATATTATTTTAAAATCTCCATCCCTGACTGTTAATACTTAGCATTGGAATCATCATATTTAAAGGCCCTTTTCACAAAGCAAAGCTGTTGTGAAATGTAAAATATAATCATTATTAAATTTTGTGCCTGATTAGGACTCCATCACTTCCTTTCTTGCTTTTTCCAGGCAGGAAAGTTTAACACGATCCCAACCCTGATCAACTTGGTCGCTGCCTTCACCTCAGTGGGACTGGTATGAATTTAAATCAGGATAAAATGTGTTTTTCATGTCGCTGTCATTGATCTTTATTTCTGTGTTGGCAGGGTACGGTTCTCTGTGATGTTATCTTGCTGAACTTCTTGAAAGGCGCAGATCAGTACAAAGCCAAGAAGTTTGAAGAGGTACTGTGTTTTTTTTTTTATTTTTTTATTTTTTATAATACACAAAAAAAGCAAGCTTTATCTCATATTTTCCTTGTTGTTTTGTCCATCCAGGTGTCAGAGAGGCAGATAGAAGAGTCCCTTGCTCAGAGTCCAGCCAGCCAGCTGTCACTCAAACGAGCCATCAAGAGCTCCTCTGACTCTGGAGCCATTTCTCTCTCCACCTGTGACCAACCTATCTGACTGACCACAACAACAGTATGAAGAAATGGACATCCTTCTCTCTTTCGCGCTCCCTTTATTGCCTTGCAAGAGATCATTAAGTCTGATATGGTTGGATCCTGTAGTCAGTTTTAACTTGGCTAGTTGATAGAAGTGGGTAAAGAAGGACAACACTGCTGCTGTCTTTGCAATTTCAAAACTAACAAGTGAGAATTTAAAAAAAACAATATTGCCTTGTAGTTTTTAACAAAACACTCAAGTGAAGTTCCCCTTAAAGAAAATTGCCAGCTCTTAACTAGTTCAATAAAACATAGTTAAAACAGTATTAATCTCAGAGGGAAACATACAGTAATAAAAAAAAATGTAATTTTATTGTAAGCAGTTTCATTTTACAAGACATGTTACAGCAGCTTGACTACAATAATCTGTAACCTCCTGTTTGTCAGCTGCAAAATAATAAAGCTGAATAAATCCTCCTTCCCCTTTTATTGCTTAAGATTTTTGGAGTATTTCTCTTTGTCATGTCATGTTCATACAATCACAACCGGCCTTTTCTTGACAAATAAAAGTGCTGAAGTCTCTTAATGGTGTACGGGCACAGTTAATACTGATGTGTGTGTGTGTTCTGAGAAAGGGCAGCTGTGGGGTAAATGTGTGTGTGGCTTGAGGTTTACAAATGGGCCATTATTAGTACATTTCTTGGTGATATTGCACAGCAGGAGATGTTACTGACTAATGGACTAATGTGATTCCTGTTTTTAGAACGGATAATCCAAAAGGAAATTATGACTCTCATTTTCTCCGTTTAAATCTCGGCTTTACTCCAAGATTTTCATTTAAGACGTTTGTGTACTTCGCTGTCTTTCTCTTTCGCTCTCTCACACTCGTGCTGCAGATTTTCACATCCTCTCTCTCTCTGCGCCCCCTCCTCATTTCACTGAACTGACCAGGGCACTAATAGATCAGCTAAAGAGCCTCTTAGTGCGTCTGACAGTGATTTATGGGAGAGGATATCCGTGAAGGGAGGCCCCAGAGGAATTGACAGCAGTTAGCCACAAAGTTTCATGTACTAATTTAATAACACAAATGAATATAATGCATGTAATGGAAACGACAGAATATAATACAAAGTGCTATAAAGTACTCTGTCTCTCTGAATGATGGCTTTGGTCACTCTTTGAAGCTGCAGCTCATCTGAAAAAAATAGTTTCCATGAGTTCTCTGCAGACAACTGTATTATGTGTGTCCGTGCATACACTTTGGAAATTGTGAAAAATTTAGCAGATAATGTCAGATGATCCCCGTTTATTAAGGTGACTGGTATAACGAGGTAACTGGAAGATGGTATGTATTTTTTTTTAATATGTTATCTAGCTTTTCATGTAGAGGGAATAATGTAGCCAAAATGTGGGTGCTTTCTCAGCATCCATCTCAAGGATAACAGGATAGAAGGATGATGACTTTAAAAAGGAAGGTATATGTGAAGCTGGTCAGCTTAGTTTAGCAAAAAGACTGGGAGCAGGGGGAAATGGCTAGCCAGGGTTAGTCCAGAGGTAACAAAACGTATATCTATAGTGCACCAACTACACATATCTTATTGCTTTAAGCCTCGTCTTGCGGAGCCAGACGGTTCTGTAGCACTGACACAGCACTGTGTAGAACGGTCTGACTGCACCTCGTTACTATTCTGCCATAGGGTGAAAATGTGTTCAGAGAAATCCTGATCACTTTGGGTGATGCTAAAAACAGGATGAATCACTGGTGTTCACTCAAAATCACGACGTGGGATTTGTTTTTGTGATACATTTGCATACAGGGAGATAAGCACTGCCATTAAAATGGAAAACTCATGGGGGGGTAAAATAGTAGGCCTGCTTTACTGCATGATCCAAATCTTTGGAAAAACTTTACATTTTCTTTTTGGCAGGTTGCTGCTGGGATTTTAAAAATGTTAAGACTTACATAGAGGGAGGGAAGAAAGCCACACACACTGTGCATCTGATGACAAACCTACATCTGTAATCTGCATCCAGTGAATCACACTACCTTCGTACTTTCAAAAACTGAGTTGCAAAAATAAGATGCCTGTATCTTGGCCCCTGGATTACATGAGCAGAGTGGCTTTGGTCTTCTCATCTAACTCACTGACAGAAAACAAATAAGTATATATCTAAAACTGATGACATGTTCCTTTAATATCTGTCTTAACCTCAGTCTCCCATGTTGCTTCAGCTACATAAAATATAACTGCAGCATCAGTAAAAACTTCACAGAGACTGAAAACATTTTCTTCTGTGAGGGATGACTGATGGGAGTTTTAATGATGACAGTTAAAAAAAAAAAAAACAATACTCTGGCGCTCAGATGCTTCTCTCTGACCCCAGCAAGCAAATGGCTGAGGAGAAACTACTGATTGTGTTCGACCACTACTTCAGCGCCAACTCGCATATCTTTCTTCCTCTGGGGTTAATTTTCATGATGGCCGGACAGGGAGCCATTAACAAGAGACAGGATATGGGGGAGTGAGTCTGTGACACAGACAGCACAACAGTTAGTAGTCTGCTGCTGTCCAGTGTGAAACTCAAGGAGGAAGATGCACAATATCTCCGACAACAGCTGGAAGAGATGGTAGAAGAATATCTACTCCAGCAACCAAATCCACTAAACTCTTGTAGTACATGGAGCTGTTGTGTCACAGCAGCGTCTAATCCAGTCTTCAGGCAGAGAGGAGAGGACGGACAAACAAAACAAACAGTTAAATTAAAATGATAGGTGATGCTTAAACATCATAGTCCATTTGAACCTCTGTTGCAGCTGGAAAAGTCTGAGATGCCAGTCAGATCTTTTTCTCCTCAAATATTTGCTGCTCAACAAAGCAGTGTGTGAAGTGGAACGAGGAGTCGTTGAGGAAGCTTGCTCTGTGCAGAAATTACTTGTCTTAGCTTGGTATCAGTTGGTATTTAAGACTAAAAATCATATATTGTAGATGAGATGAAAAAAAATAATCTGAAAATGTCACTCTTTAAAATACTGTCAGCGGAATCTACTTTTGAGACTATCTCGCCTATTTTTATTTGTATTTTTTTTTTGTCATTTAGAATGAGAAAAACAAGTCTGTGATGCTCCTTGTTATGGGTTTACAGTCACTGTCTGTGCTTCCTCCCCGTGTTCTTCCTCTTCAGAGCTCGTATCCAGGCGGGGAGAGCCGGCCGACGGGCTGGAGCCACCTCCTCCATCGCTGCTGGCTCCACGTCACACTCCTGCTCCGTCACAGAGTCTTCCTCTGCTCCCGAATCCTCCTCTGAGTCTGTGGCATCCAGATCCAGGTCCGGAGGCTCTATGGTCACCACCTCCTCTAAAAAGCGAACGCGGCGGTTCTCCTCAACTCGTCTCTGATCCAGAAAGGGATGAATGGAAACGCAGAGATGAGAAGGAAATGAGGAAGAAGGGAGTATTTGATCAAATGTAATATTAGCAAAAGTGCTAAATGTAAGAATTATTTCTTACTCTTAATGTTACAGGCCTGCAATTTGTGTGTGAAAAAAAGTTTCCTTGCTCAAATAATTCAATTTTTGAGCAAAAGTTAAGATCCATACAATTAACACACTGTTTTCAATACATGTGCAATGAAAAGGCAATCAAATGGTAACTTTACCTGTTTAGTTATTGATTACATTGGTCATAAAATTCAAAGGTTATTTTTATTTTTCTAAGGTGATTTTAGAGTTTTTTCACCAACAATAACATATCTTCTGGCTATATTTTGGAACAACAGTGTCAGCAGGATACTTACAAATCAATTATTTTTTTTAGTCCACACAATGACTGTTTTAATTGTGCTTTTATCTTGTAAATATATACTCAAGCCCTGCTGAGAATAAACATTTGACAGACGACATGTTTTCTATTCATACCACAGGGAGGCGCTGTGACACACAATAGCTTACCCTTTTTGTCACAGTCTCCATGGAGGGCTCTAAATCCTGGGATATGGAGTGTTTGAGGACACCCCGGGGCGCAGGAGCAACAGGTTTCGGAAAGGATGGGGAGTTTAGACTGTATAGAGGTATGATGTCATTATGTTGTGACGGCCCTGCTTCATTCATCATGTGGCTGCTGGTTGGGCTCACTGAAGACATGGAGCCTCCTGTAAAATGACAGACAAGACAAAGAACTGAGTTCGCAACTCACCGCCTGGTTCAACTCAAATAACAGAAATATCTGATTGAGATTAAATAAAATAAGAAAATCGTTAATTGTTTCAGAAAGAGGAAATGTGGGTGTTGCAGCAGCAATAAATAAAAACACAATAATTGTGATTATGTATAGTACTGAGCTACTCAGACCTCTGTCTGCCATTTCTCTGTCTCTTGTTTTGTCAGTCTGAAGGCCTTGGCCCTCTTGCCTCTCAGCTGACTGATGCTGTCTCTTCCTGTTGGAGGGAACTCTGCTCTTCGAGGCCGAGTTGTGCAGATTTTCTGCTGGCTGCAAACAGAAACACGTAACAGAATGATCATGAGGTCTTCACATGGATAATATAGTAAAATCACTTTTTAAATATCAAGTGACACAACATGAGATAACTGAAGGGAATATCTCACCTGTGTAAATGATGGAGTTCTAGGTTGCTGAGGTCCGCTCCCTCCAGACTGCATGTCTGATTGGTTATGACCGTCCTCCATTGGTTCTGAATGGTCAGCCTCTCTGTGAGCCCACTGTTGCTGTTGTTGTTGTCGTCCTTCTGAAACGTCCATGCTGACAGGTGAGAAAGCCTCAGGCGATGTTTGTGTCCTGCTGAAGACGGGTGCCGGTGATGATTCTGTATTCCTGAAGCTCCACCGGTTGCTCCCACCTCTGAATTGGTTCAAAAACCCAGGTGACTGGTTACTATCTTGAGGATTTGGTTGGATTTTTGCTTGGCTCAGCGGCTGTTCTGATGGTGTGTGATTTGCAGAGGGGGCTGAAAGGTTGGGGTTTAGGAACTTAGCCCACTCTTGACCCATGACAATCTCCTCCAGTAGGCTGAATGACCCGAGGCCAAAGTCAAAGTCACTTGTAGATCTGAAACGGGAGAAAACATTTTCTAACTCAAGAATTCATTATGTACATGTGATTAGCTTAGCAACAAAAACAAGAGTTAGTATTTACTTATGTCACCCAAAGTCGCAAATCTCAGATTTCAACCCGATGAGGTTAAGAGTAATGAAACTGTAGATTTTTCATATTGTAAACAAATCATATGAAATGACGAAAACCAACAACGTATTGATCACAGTAACTGGTATCATCTATGTGGCTAAAACCTAATGCAGCTTATTCTTGTCTGAATAAACTACACTGGCACACAAATTTACATGTTCCTTCATCATGATAACCATGGACACTTTGACTTAATCCCACATTTACCGGCCATAAATACTCACAAGTCCCACTTCATCGTCCATCGTGTTTCAGATGTCAGTATTTTTTACTCGGCACACAGTGATCCAAGAATGTTAATGCTTTTTTTTTTTTGTCAGTGGTCAGATTTGCGTCGTTTTAACAACTTTCTATTACATTTAGCTACATTGTTGCTGAATCTCTATTTGCTTTGTGCTCTCACACTCCCAGCACATAGTGTTTAGGTACAGATATGCAAATAGTCAATGCTAATGCTGATATTTGCATATAATTTTTCTACCAAATTGCAGACAACATCAGGTCTCTGCTGTATCGGACTTAGTATATTACTATGTCTACTTTTATTGTGATGGCCCACTGACTGGTGCCAGCATAAAATAAAATGCTCTTCAAAAGTACACATTTACTGGGCAAAAAGAGAAAACTACTTCAGTTTACATGTAAAACAAGCCAGATTCATTTTTATTTAACATTTTCAAACAAGACAGATGCTGATAACGCTGATCCTTTTAAAGCTTTTGATATATGTGTGTGAGCTACGTTGTTTTCTTTTTTTTAAATGATGTCGTCATAAGAAATGAGAGGACTTCTGGTGAGAGCTTTGGGTGGACTTGGAAGACTCATGTAAGGTGAAAAAAACAAATAGTTAGTTCTGGTCTTTTAAAATAATTGGTTGTATACATGAAAAGTATTTGTTAACTCCAAAATTGTCAAAGTGTCCTTCACAAGTAATTCTCACAAAATATGTGTGCATATGCATCTGTATGTGATTGATGCCTTTTCCTTGAATGGCATGTAATAAGAATCTTATGGTACATATTTCAAAATGAAAGTGTGATGGCTAATGACAGCTGCTGTCATTGACTGGGGTGTGTTTGGCACATCAGACCAGAGACATTCATCAGAGGTAAAAAAAAAAAAAAGAAAAGAAAAAATGTCAGCCCAAAAACTAATTTCATGCCAAAACTTGGAACCATCTCAAATACCTAACATGTCAGCGAGCTGTGTTGTTTTAGGGATTTGAAACCTCACTGTGAGAGTCTGTGCCATGCTGACTGCAGTTTGGAAATATTTGTACAAACGTCTGGGTTGATTACCTGACATGTGCATCAGTGCTGTCCTCTGTTCTGCTGGGACCACTGCTGTCCATTGAAGAGAGGCTCCTTTCTCCATCCTTATTTGATGTGTTGATGAGATTTTCGGCTGTTGATGCCTGGTTTGGGGATGAAATCTGCAGGATAAACAGGTTGCAGTTTCATTTCAAGGCGTTATTTTCTCTTTAATAAAATTAGAATATTATTCAAAGGTCACTACTCACTTCAGTGCTTTGCCCATTTTCCTGCCCTGCTGTCCCTCCTTCTTCTTTCCCCTTTTTGCCAAAGCTCCCTGGTCTGTCCCTCCATCGCTCCTTAATCTTCTGCGTCCATCTTCTTGTCTTATTCTCAGACGATCTCTGTTTTCTCCTCGAGTCGCTGTTTGTTGTGTTTTGGCTACTTAAGACAGCCTGTGCATCTTGTGTCAAACCTGCAGATCCTCCATTTCCCATATGCACCACTTGATTCTCTTCACTTCCTGAGTCGGTGCGTTTCAAGGACCAGGCGTAGACTCTGGGTGTAAAGCCCTGGTCCGGCTTCTGATTCTGCCCTATGCTTGAGACAGTGTCTGTATTTTGAGGGGTTTGAGCTGTCGTTGCTGAACTGCCAAAACTCACTCTTTCCCCATCAGTCCTCTCAAAGGAAGTGATATCAGCATCCTTAAGTGATTTAGTAGGAAACAGCTGCCCTGTTCCTGTTGGGGTGATCCCAGGCTGTGTGGCCTGTCCCACCCTGTCCTCACCATCAGTGTTGTCTTTCTGGGAGTGGAAGGAAATCAGACCCCTGTCCACTTCACTGCCATGATCTGGTTGCTGTATTTTACCACCTTTGAAGCCAAACTTACTGTCCGCAGCAGAGTTGCCAAACTCTTTTGAGGGGATACCATTAGTACCAAACTTGAAGTCATTGCTCACTTTCTGGAGGTTGGATGCTCCACTTTCAGCAGTTGTGACAGGTGCAGGTGAGTGCAGATGCGCCTGGCCCTCTCTGCCCGGCTGCAGCTTCAGTCTCTGCAGCATGGACTGCACCAAGGCCTGAGGGTCTGTTGGATTATGTGGCTGAGACATCTAGGAGCAAAACTGCAACGTACCAAATCCAGAAGTCACAGAAACAGTTGCGAACACTACAGAACAAAAACAGGGATAGATTCCACACAGTGATGTGACGAGTTGCTCCAAGAAGGGGCTGGAAAGCATGACAGAAGAAATTCCCCGCATGTAAATCATGTCAGCCCTTTTGTCCAAGTTTTGTTAGGAAGACTCCTGCGGTGACTGCCGTCCTCTTTTTGAATGTTCCAGTCTTTCTCCATTGTTCTAAAAGTTTGTCATTGCAATTATAAAGGCAGGTCCTCCTCTTCAAGTTTAACTTTCTATGATAGAAGTTCTCTCCCTGCTTGCACTTATGGATGTTTCACTGTCATGCTGCCTCCACAACTTTATGATCCTCAAAACTCCAGCAGAAATCTCCTTTTCTGTTGTCTTGGCACAAAGAGTCCAACATGTAACAGTTCCTGACTTTCGCCTCCGTGTCCTTTTGAAACTCTCTTTCTCTTTCACCAAATGTTTCGATGCACAAAGGTTGGTCACTCCTCTTCTTCAGCAACCATTTATATCACCGATGTTGGGAGGAGAGACGGTGCACGGCAGCGTTCCTCAGATCTTACGCACTGAAGCAGACAAACGAGAAAGACCAGTGAGGTGAGATAATTGTGCATTGACAGTGACTCTCCCTCCCTCTCTCGCTCTCTCTGCCCATCTTTCTGTTTACCCTCCCTTCCTTCCTATTTCTCTACTCGGCTCACTCGATCACACATGTGCACACAAACCCTCTTTCTTCCCACTGTGCCCCTTAACTGGTAATTACAGGGCGTTTTTTGAGACCAGCTGCTATTTATGTGTCACCAGAATGAAAGAAATAAAAAAAAAATTGTCTGCTATAATCTGTGGAATAACCCTTTCTACATTAACCCTGTGAACTCCATTATCAGTACTGTTCAAGTAAAAATGTTAACAGACCTTTGCTTTTGTTGTAGAAATAGTGTGGCAGTAGTAAATTCCTCGAACATGACAGGGTACTGGAGAAGCTTTTGTTGTTGTTGTTGTTGTTGTTTTTTAAAACATTACATTTTTGTTTTTATTCATATTTGTTTATGGTAGGCACCAGAGTTTTTCAATTTACCACTACTTTTTTAAAAACATACTTTAGATTAAAAAGTGCGATTCAGTGGCTAAAATTAAAGATGAATTATCACAAGGAACATCACATTACTATTAATAATACTTATAATAATAATTTACTAATTGATTGGTTTTGGGATTAACTTTCTGATTTCGGAGTTGGTAATGTTTTGATGCAGATGTTGTATTTCTTCTGGCAGACTGACTACAAAAATCTCATTCTGAATCCTGTCAGACTGTTGGTGAGACTTTACAGGCCGTTACAAATAAAGTTAAGCTTTGTTATTGTTTTAGTCTTACGTCTGTTCAATTTTGGATCATGCTGCAGGGATCTAGAGTTACTGTAGAACAAACATAAAGTGAAACACATGCAGCTATAGTTCTTTGGGTGTGCATAAAAATCTCTGCAAAACTGTCAGTATCTGAGGATATTGGATGAGAACAGTATTAAGTTCAGCAAAAAGGCAATAAATTGCAAATGTAGAGTGGGTTCATTAACTAACAACAGATCCTTAATAAATCTTTTAATGGGAGTGTGTAAATAATTACTCACAGATTAGGGTTCTCGCAAAGGTTAGTGTCTGGTATTTTAAAATGATCAAGAAAAAAATGGTCTAAAGAAATATTCTGCAAAGTAAAACTGAGAACATTCTGTGCAGTTAAGCATGCTTCACATCCCAAGAAATATGTTGGCAATCATTACATACATTACAGGGTTAGGTAAAGGTAAAGCACACTTCGTTACTTGAGTACATGTGTGTAGTTTTTGTTTTAACAATGGGAGGCGCATTAAGTCGGGTGGTCTAAGGGTCCTCTTCCAAAATATTTCGAAACATTATCGACTAAATTGCCTACATTGTGGTGAATCTTTGTGCATCAATCTGTGCCTTCTCTGCTTGCTCCTGAATTGTTGCCACCTGAAGTAGTCTATGGTAATGTTATAGATTTTTTTTTCAAAATAAAAGTGCTTGGGTTCTTGTTTTTACTGTAGAGGGGGTGGAGAAAAAATGTATGTGCATATATTCAGAGCCTGGCCCAGGTCTGTAAAATCTTTCTCCGTTCCTCAGTGTAAAAATAACAGAGTCTTGAGTCTGTCTTTTGGTTTCCGTCTTAGCTCTCCTTATACATGATGTTCATACATTATTGGAGGGTGGAGTGGATATAAATACACATGTTCTAAATATTGAGGGTGATGTATGTCCTGCGTCCTTCTTGAAGTCTACACTTATGCTTGAGGAGGTGCACTCTTCAACACTGTCATGAAGTACTTCAATACAATCAATTTTTTGACACACCACAACATTGACACACCATTAATTCACATTAATACCTTTATATAATAAATTATAATAACTGTTTTTTCTTCAAAAAGCAAAAGATTCCACATTTTTTTAACATCTCATCTTTATATATTGAAAACAGAGCGGGTTAAAACCACGTTAAAACGACAAACATGCAGCAACAGAAGTTGTTGGCAAAAAAAATGTCATTTAGGAGCCCAGTACGCATGCGCATGGTCAAACCCACATCCCTTTCAGGTTCCTCCTCTCTGATTGGTCCACATTGCGGAAGCTGATAATGGCGGCGTAAACAACGTTAAGATATGTGAAAGACACTACTTAGCGAAAACAAAACTTAAAATACAACTAAAAAAAAACGGAGTATGTTTCCGGCAAGGGGGTATATGCTCAGTGTGCTAACTGTTAAAATACCACTGGTCCATCTGCCTAGCTGTTAGTTTTGGCTAACTTTTAGCATAGTTTGCTAACTCAACGGAAAAGTAGTTTTCAGAGATGCACTGTGTCGTGACGGGAGGAAACGTGAAAGGTAGCAAACATTTCCTGCTCATTTCACCATGCCTTTAGCTAAAACACGTTACATTAATCAGCTGTTGTTAGTAACTGTGTTGTGTACATGTGTGTGTATGTGTGTGTACCGTCTAGTGTTGGCCAAAGCGGTCCATTCTCTGTCCAGGATCGGCGATGAGCTGTATGTAGAGCCTCAGGAAGATGGGGTGAGCTACTTTGATACCGTCCTATCTACCAACACTTCCTCCTGCCATGCATAGAGTCTTGTTGCTTCCTGTTGGTGCAGACTTTGCGTGAATGAATGGTGCTGATTTGAGTTTTTTTTCTTCCCTTGTAGCTGGCCCTGCGGTCTGTCAACTCCTCTCGGTCGGCATATGCTTGTTTCCTGTTCGCACCACTCTTCTTTAGCAGGTGCAGACTGTTGTGCGAGTGTATTAACGGAACTGTGATGACTGTTTATGTGTGTGTGAAATAGAGAGAGAGAGAGAGAGAGTAAGTGAGCGCACATCACTGTTTTGTGCGTCATTTCTTGGTGTTTGAAGACAACTCCTCCTTTTGCTTTTGCAGGTACTCCATTCCCAATGGACACACCTTCCGCTGCAAGATGGCAATAAAGGTGTGTGAGAAAGAGATAGTTCTTCATTTACATGTGCTGTAATCATCTATGCCAGTGGTTGTGAAGCTTTTTTCTGACTTACTACTCCAAAGCCCTATCAGAAGTTCCCAAGGACTCCCTCATCAGTGTTTGTCCTTTGATATTCCTACAGTCATCACACAAGACTGTGTTTTGACTTGGTTCACATTCTTTGTTTTTGGCTATCGGTCTGCATTTATGTTACCACTGAAAGAGGCAGTGCTGAATGTCCCAGTTGTTTGTCTATTACTTCTTGTTGCAGATTTTCTTTACCCGTGCTCACTAGTTTTATACACATTGAATCACAGGTTGCCATCTCAGGGTGTTAGAACTGATTTAAGTTTGTGACAACGTGTCCTATGTAGCCGGCATAGTGAAAATGATAGATGATGGAATATTGTGACAGCAAATATACTGAACATCAGCCTCAAATCAACTTGTAATCGTGTTTGTTTTTTCTTCTTAAAAACAAATTTGTGCACATATGTTTTTCACTAAAGCATAATTTGTATATTTTCTGTTAGCTGAGCCACTGCACGATCATTCCAGAAAAAAGCCCTAGCAACTACCTGCCTGTGGTTCAAGTGTAGGATTCAGAGCAGAGACAGATAGATGAAGGAACTTCAGAGTCTCCTTTCTGTGCACAACGTTGAATGCTATCTCTTATGTCATGTTGCAATCAGGAGGTTGTGGTTTTCTGTCTGCAAAACCAATAAGCTTCCTTGTGTTAACAGTTGTACATGGCAGTAACTTCACAAAGTAGGTCCCGAAGTTGTATTTGCACACGTAAAAATTGTTTTTTAAGTTGAAACCAATCATTTCAAAGATAAAAATGAGTCGCATACATGTCTAAAAATGTCCTATTTCATTGCATATTAACATATTCAAGGTCCTTTTATTTTTTTTATATTGAATTTGTCTGTTTCTTATGTTCCTCTGTGTGTCAGAGTGTGCAGGCTGTGTTCAGATCTCTGGCAACCCTGGAGAAGACCGTGGAAAAGTGTCACATCGAGCTGGATGAACAAAAGGACCGGCTCACTTTCACTCTGCACTGCAAACATGGTATTAGTGTTTCACTTCCTTTTCAGTTGATTCCTCAGCCTAAGTGATTTGGGGAAATATATGATTGTAGAGCTTTTTGTGCTAAATTACTTTATAACTTTGTCTTTCTAAAAAAGTTACTGATGAAATATGGGTTTTAGTATTACATGAAACACCATCAAAATATTAGCAGCTCTATATTCTAATGCAGGGATGTTAATTTAAAAGTAAAAATTGCTTTAAACATGTATTAATGCTAGTTTTTGTGTGTCATTGACGATGGAGCAATTATCACAAACATGACTGTGTTAAGTTAAATGAACAAAATAATCATGAAGAAAAAAACAATCTTATAAGAAAGTAGTAGGATCTCTATGGCAACAGTCTGACAGTTATATAGTAAGTAGGTCATTCATGGCTAAGGAGCAGCATCTAAGTACTACACATACTTCACTCATGTTAAATGAAGTAATGATAATTAAAAAGTAAACCCTGGCACAGACGTTCTCCACAATGTATATCCAAAGTTGTAGCTTTTGTGATTTGCTAATTGCATTGTTTTAATTTCCGATTTTGAATTCAAATGAATTAATTTTTAAGTCTTGCCATTCACATTAACAAAAATGGGTCCAACTCATTTATACACATCATTAATTCACTGTAGCTCATTGTGCATTCATTGCATTGTTTTCTATGTGCGTGCGTGTACTCTAAGGGTTTGTGTGTTTGGATTTTTCTCTGCAGGCCTCCTGAAGACACATAACCTGTCTTTCCAGGACAGTGAAAGTTTACAGGCAGTGTTTGATAAAGACAGCTGTGCCAACGTATTCAGAGCCCAGCCCAGGTCTGTGAAATCTAGCTCCATTGTTGATTGTAAAAGTAACAGTGTATTCGCAGTCTGTTTTTGGTTTCCATTTTTGCTGTCGTTATACTTGATGTTCAAACAATGTTAGATTTTGAAGACTGACAAGATTTTAAGAGTACATTTGGTTGAATACATGAATCACTAAAGTTACCAAATACAGTAAAATGTCTTTCAAAGTAGTTGTAACTTCTACATTTGTTTTTTCACTGTTCTCAGGTTGCTGGTCGACACAGTGGTGCACTTCCCTGCGTCTTTGGAAGAAGTGACTGTATCAGTGAGCGATGAACGGATGTGGGTCAGGAACCATGTGGAGGAAGAAGCAGGTGACAAGCCTGTCTAGTTTTCACCCAGGAGTTAATACAACTAATACACACAAGTTTCAGATGATGTGTCAATACAGCAGTAAAACAAAAAATGGAAATTTTCCATAGTAGAAGAAAAAAACAAGATATATGAATGCACATAGCTTGAGTTACTTTAATTATGTTTGCTAATGCCACTGCCCAAATTAGTTACTGTATTTTTAAGGGGCTTTGCATTGCAAAAATACAAAGATAGTCGCTATTGTGTTCATTAATGGCATTGTGAATCATGCAAAAAAAGTGAAGAGGACAGTTATAAAGTCAGTGGGGTCCTTGTGTATAATCTTGACGGTCATTAGTGAATCGAGGCAGCTTTTCTAACTCTGAAAGTTAAAAGCAATAGAATATAATTATATAAAGTTTATTCAAAGACAGAGGTAACATCTCAGTTTTCAAATTTGCTTCCAAACACTTATTTTGCACTTTATTAACTCTTTCTTTTCCTCTCTCTCAGAGCAGTCCAAGGTCATGTTGACAGAGCTGTGTCTGGCTTCAGACGAGTTCGACCATTTTGCCGTCAAAGCTCACAGCAGCATCACCTTTTGTCTGAAGGAATTACGGGTGAGACGAACGTTAAAGGCAGGGAGAGATGACAGAGCAAATTAATGGGCGGATTAGTCAGGAGGGAGAGGGCTGAATAATTGACCACAAAGTGGGAGAGGTGCTTTGGGGACAAGGTGAAAGCAGCTAAACTATGTTGTGGTATGCTGACGGCTTGGATTGATTTACTCATTACAGCAGTTTGCAAAGTTGTTTATTGTCATCTCTCCTTCAGGGTTTGTTAGTGTTTGCAGAGTCCACTGGTCTCCCTGTTTCTATGTACTTTGATGAGCCAGGAAGGTGAGAATACTCCCCCTACAAATAAATAAATTGATCAAGTATTTCAACGCTGCATATTGACATGTACATTTTGTGTTGGTGTGTTTCAGCCCTGTGGTGCTTTCAGTAACAGACAGCGTCCTGGAGGGAAACTTTGTGCTGGCCACACTTTCCGAAGATCCCAACCTTCGTAAAAACAACAGTAAAGGGTAAAAACCGAACACGACAGAGTGAAATTAAATAATAGAAGATAACTTTAACCTTAAATGCCAGATACATTTTTTTTGCCTGTGTAAGAGAGACCAAGATTTCCTGTCTGTCAGTTCAGTATCAGGCAGGAAATCCTCAATATTTAACCTACAATGCCACCTAGTGGGTCAGAGCGTTACTGGACAACTGTAAACTGTTGTTTTGGGGATTTTCTTAAGCCTTGTTTATAATCCCTTGTGAGTACAGACACCTGGGGACACCACAGACACACAGCTGCTTTAATTGATTGATAATTACTGTTTTGCTTTAATTCACAATCTAATAATCACAAGCAACACCATGGGTGACACATCCCATCATGCATTTGAAATATTCACGGTAACATCGGGTGAAGAGGAGCAGTGCAAAAGCAGAGGGAAGATTGTAAATGTCAGAAAATACAGCTCAGCATGAAGCTAGGATGATAGAGGCCAGTGATTCATGTTTTATTTTTACTCCTCATTTGTTTCCTATTTCTCTGTCATTTACACTCCCAACTATCTCCATGTCTCAGAGCACACACACAGCCCCCGCCCCCTCCAGATGACTTCATGAATGACGACATAGACTCCTATCTAATCGCCATGGATACCAGTATTGCGCCAGGTCCCTCGGCTACAGGTCCTTCCACAGCCTCATTAGCTGATTCCACGTGTTCAAAACAGTCTGCTGCTGCCACTCTCAGGACAAAGACACACAGAGAGGAGGAGGAGGAAAACACAGAGGAAGATGAAACAGATGATTCAGAAAGACCACCTAATAAGAAGGTACGGCTTAGTTTTCACAGGAAAAAAGGTGGCATGTCACAAGAGTGTGCCTTCACTTTTTCCTTGCAGTTTTTTTTTTCCCACATGGAGAAAAAACAAGCAGAAAAATGACTTTGTCATTGTGCTGCCATTTATTTACCAAGAAAGGAAACTCTCACAGAAAAAGACATAAACAAGACAAAATCATAAAACAATATTATCGTGCTTCCAGTTCAGTATGTAGACAACTGAGACATCGTCTAGTCTGAGTTTACTATTTAGTCATTAAACATCTCTGTACTGTCTTTGTATGTGTACAGAGTGTTTCCTTAAACCTAATACAGAATACAAAATTTCTCAAATGTTTATTTGTACTGCACCCAGTGCCGAATATTTCTCATCCGTCACTGCTCATGAGCCATCGGGGCTCAGGAATTTTGCAGTTGATCTCGGAACAGATGTGCTAATTGCAAGATCATTTCACTTTGAGAGGTTTGTGACTGAAACAAATGATTGATATAGAAGTCATGGGAGAAGTAAATGTGTCTGCTGTCTCATTGCTAAAAAAAAAAAATCCTCATACTGGCAAATCAGGGTAGTGGCTGGACTACTTGTATCGAGCATTTTAATGAAACATGGTCTTGTAATGTGTTCTCCCACAGTTCCGTTCCCTCTTCTTTGGATCGGTACTTCCCCTGTCCTCTCAGATGAGCACTCAGCCAGTGATGTGCCAGGAGGTGTTGGCCAGTGACAGTGAGGACGAAAGTCAAGTAGAGTAAACGTGGACTGATGGGCGAGAGGAGAGAAATAGACTGAACTGACAGCAGGAGCACTGTTACACCGTGACACCTGGAATACTTGAAACTGAGGACATGGACATCTTGGATGCTAATTTTCATTATTGTTTGCCACCTGGACCTGGTTGATATGCAGAGTTCGTCAGTGCAGAAATGGTGCATTCCACATGATCACTGGATTATAATGTTCATGGTGGACTTGAAAGTCTGGGATAATGTGAAACACTTCTAGTTTATGTTTGTTTGGACTTTGCCCGCTTTGTAATCAAGATGCAGCGTATTAAGTCCCAACAAATAAACAAACTTATTTTTCAAAGTATGTAAAAATCATTTCTTTTTTATTTACATGTCAAAAGGTTCAAGTATGACAAAGATTTAGGATGATGGATCCCTGAGCATCAATTTGAAACGTTGCCAGGACAATGACACATGATCTGAAATCTTGTAAAAAAGAGTTCAAGTGTCAAAAGTAAGCTTCAGCATAAGAATCAGAATATCTAAGAGTCTGTGAGCCAGTCTTTCCAGGACGAGCAACATCTTCGCTACTTTTCTCTTTCTGCACTTGAAAACTTTTCCCCCTTGTCTGCGGTTTCCTCCTCTCTCGCTCCTTCTCCTTCCCCAGCTCCTTCTCTCTCTTCTTTTTCAACCTCTCCTCCTCTTTCTCCTTTCTTTCTTGCTGCCTCCGCCTCCTCCTCCTCTCCCTGGAGCTCAGTTTCTCCTCCGCCGGCTCCTCAACAGTTTTCCCGGTCCCCGTGCCATCACTGAAGTCTTGAATCAAGATTTTCGGCACTTGCATTTTGGGCTTCCCCTTTGCTGTGCTGTTTTTGTGCTGCTCCCCTCTCAGTCTGCGGAAAAGACCAAAACGTTTCGGGGGCTCCGCATGCTGCTGCTCTGTCACCTCTGCAGGAAGTGTCACATCAGGAGCACTTTGTTTTGGGTTCATAGCTCCAGGATTTGATTTCGACTCTTCTGGATGATTAGGGACGACTTGTGATTGGCTACTTTTCTGTGGGCTGGTGAAGAGATCTTCAGAGAGTCTACGCGCCAACCTGGAGCCACGTGAGCTGGATGACTTGCGGACACACAAGTCACCAGAAGACCGGCTGCTGCGACGCCCAGAGGTTTGTACCAGAGGCTCAGACTGCTCTTTCACAGAGTGACAATCTTTGTCTTGGACTTGTGTGTTGTTGTGAGTGACTGATTCATCTGTTGACTCAGTGGAAAGGAAGACTTCGTCCTCTCCTGCTGTGTTTTCTGGGAAATTTTCTGTGCCTTTCTCTTCCTCCACGGGAACCTGGTTTGTTGGTTGTTGGGGTGCTTGCATATTACATACTTGCAATGAACTCTTACCGTCAGACTCAGAGTTTGGATTCAATGCTTCAGTCTCTTCCTTTTCTGCAGATATTACAGAGTCTTCAGTCTCGTCATTCGTCTGAGTGGGCGTTTCCTCTGTATTTGTTTGATCACAGATACATGCATCACTGTCAGCATGTGGGTCAGAGTGTACAGTCAAAACTACTTCTTGTTTTTCCTGCGTAGGCTCAGATGCTATTGCTTCATTTGACTCCTCTGATGGGTCTTTTGCAACTTCAGCTTCAGTCTCTGTTTCATCAGGTGAACCTTCTTTTCCTTGGATGCATTCAGGTGAGTCCAGTATCAATGTGTCTTCTTCTGCGTTAGCCTCTCTGTCTGCATCTATGTGCTGGTCTGATTCCCTTTGTGTTATTTCAGCCTTCAGTTCGTCCTGTGCGGCTGCATTTTCCTCTGCTTTTTCTTGAGTGTGTGCCAGTACGTCAATTTCTGTCGTTTGAGTGTGGAACTCCTCTGTCTTTTGTGATTCTACTAATGACTCAGTGCTGTGGTATTTTTCTTCAAATGTGATTTCTTCTGTCTGTGTGATCACTTCTTCTTGCTCCTGTTGTGTTTCTGTGTCTGTTTGAGGATCTTGGAGTTCAGCAGCTTCGACATCTGTGTGTGTCTCTGAGTCCAGACTTGTCTCAGTCCTTGTCTCTGAGACGTCTGTAACTGTGTCCACCTGCGTTTGTTGCATATTTTCAATTTCTGTGCTCTCATTTAGGTTCACATCAACCTGGGTCATCTGCTTTTCATTTGAATCGACACTTACTTGCATCTCTGCCTCAATGTTTGCATCCGCTTCAGCATCTCTTAGTACCTCAGTGTGGTTGACCTCCACAGCAGCTGTATGGTTATTTTCTGCCACGTGTTTTTCTGCGGCTTCATTTGTGTCTTTAATCTCAATTTCCTGGTTTGTACTTTTGTGACTTTGCTCTTCCAGGACTTGCAACGTGTTCACAGTGTCCACTTTTTCCTCCTGTTCACGGTGAGGTGTTTGTTCTGGGGGCTGGAGAATATTTTCAACAGTCTGATCTTTGGCTGGACATGGATTTGTTTCTTCTGTCTGGTCTGAAAGCATTTCGCTTTCCTCTGTCTCTTTAATTTCGCTGACTTCCTTTTCAGTGGTCCTTGTTTCCACTTTTTCAGTCTCTTCTTTTACTATTACAGTTTCCTCTTCTGCGTTCTCTGTTGGTATGTTTTGGGTTTTGTCCATCTTTTCAGGTTCCTGTAGAAGTTCCTCCTGTTCAGTTTGTCCTGGTGGTTTGGACTCACTCTGTGCTTTGCGTCCCTCTGAAACTAGCTTTTCCTCCTCGTCACAGTGAGATGTTTGTTCTGGGGGCAGGAGAATATTTTCAACAGTCTGATCTTTGACTGGACATGGATTTGTTTCTTCTGTCTGTTCCTCTGTCTCTTTAATTTCGCTGACTTCCTTTTCAGTGGCCCTTGTTTCCACTTTCTCAATCTCTTCTTTTACTATTACAGTTTCCTCTTCTGCGTTCTCTGTTGGTATGTTTTGGGTTTTGTCCATCTCTTTAGGTTCCTGTAGAAGTTCCTTCTGTTCAGTTTGTCCTGATAGTTTAGACTCACTCTGTGCTTTGTGTCCCTCTGAAACTACGTCCTCCTCCTCCTGGACAACCGGCCCCTTCTTAAAATCTTCATCAATCCAACTTTTCAAGTCCTCCTTTCCTGCCATTGAAAGATGCCTCACAAGTCTTTTACCACCTTCCAATTCGTCTGCATTGGCTTTTCCTCCTTTTCTCCACTTCTTGTGAAGGAGTGAAGGAGAAAGTGACAGAGTGGAGGCTGAAAGAGCAGCAGGTACAGACAGGTTTCCCTTTTCTCTCTTTTTCCTCTCCTGCTCTTCTTCGTTCTCCCGAGCTCTCGCATACGCCATCCGGTATCCGTGGCAACGACCTCTGGGGTCAAATGTAGATGATGGTTTGTCTTTCCTCCACTTTTTTAACTCCTTCTCCGTCTGCTTCTCCAGATCTTTGGATGACAGCGGCACCGAACACACCTAAAATGTGGAAAGACACAAATTTTTGTTTTATTGTAATTCGCGGAATTTGTGGTGACAAATTAAAGGAAAATGAATCTCTTAGTAAGATGTTGGTCCACCATTAGCTGTTTCAACTTATTTTGGCGTAGACATTGCAAGTGTTAAGTCCCCCACAAAATGTAAGAAACATCCTTTTCTGAAAGATATTGTTTGAAAAATCTTTTAGGATTATTGAACTTCTAACTGTTATGGTACTGGTTTAATGGACGTAGAGAACGCTGTCTAACATGTTGGTCAGAAGTCTCCACAGGTTTTTTTGTTAAGCTGAAAAAGGTTAGTGCAAATTTTATAATAATTTTTGTTTCCATCAAACGATTCAGTGTCCGCTTGTACACTGACATCCTGCAAGAGACCACTCCCATCAGGACTGAAATGTTTCATAATCGTGTAAAAATGATGATGGAGGATAGTTGATTTGCTTTGTTGCTTTCATCCAAAGCAGAACGTGAACCTGAAATGTGTCCAATCTATAGAGAAATCCTTCTCTTCAGTCATTTATTCCAGCTTTCATAACATGCTTCTTTAAAATCCCAGCTTTACTTTTGGCAGCCATCTTTTCACTGTCAAACCATGTTTTTGAAACGTTTTGGTTTTGAGTCCTCAACTTTTCATGCTAGATGTGCTCATGTTTAGACACTTTAGTCTACTTTCTCAATAGCAGCAGAAGTGAAAGCTGTTTGTCTTGAACTACCTGCTGACTTGTAAATCAGATAGTCACACACCAGTCACATTTGTCAGTCTTACTTCTGCTATGAAGGTGTCGTCTTCCTCTTGGACCTCCTCCCTGACACCCCTCAGCTTCTCCAGTGTTTCCATCTGCCCCTGACAGAGCTTCCTCTGCTCGGCCCGACCCAGAACCCGACGCACCAGTACCACTGCCACCTGGAGCAGAACCCGCACCCCTGCACAGCACAGAAGAGGAGGGTTTAGGATGGAGGAGGAAGGAGAGAGGGGAAGGAGCTGTTGAAAATGTTTCTGCAAACCAGGTAGAAATGATAATTCCATGCCAGTCCTAACATTCTTTACACTACATGGCCAAGTGTATATAAACAGAAACCTGAAGCATGTAGAAATCTAAACATTGTGCTGAGATTTGATGAATATTTCATTCCAAAACCGTGGACATTAGGATGCTGCCAGAACAACTTCAGAATCCGGATGGGTGGAGGTCAGGTCACATTCTTACTCACTAAACTCTGAAAACTATTTTCTTATGGACATGGGTTTGTGCACAGGCTGTCTGGCTAACAGAAGAGGACTTTACATAAACCATTGCCACAATGTTGAAAGCACATTATTCTCTAAAATATCAATACATGCTCTATGCATTCTTTATCACAACTTAAGGGCCCCAGAATGAAAACATTTGAACATGTCATATAGTGTCTGTAAATACTATGTCAAACCTGTTCTTTTTAATGTTAAAAATTGCAGAATGGCAAACTGTTTATTTATTAATCTTTTGAAAGGCATGAACCATAAAACACAAGATGTGAATTTGACATGTGAAGCAAACAAGCAACATGATCTCATTTTGTTCAAGTCATAGGAATTTCTTTAGTCGTTCTCTCAAACACAGTTATCCTGTACATATCATCGTTGTATCTTCAGTTTTAAGGAAACATTGGCTGGCATGCTAAGAAGACATCCTACCATAGCAGAAGAAAAGGTCCCAGACCCGGAGAAGTGTGTTGAATGGCAGGTGACGCGTGAACAGACACATCAGCCAGTCGGTAGCAAACATGAGGGGCTCCACTCCGTGGTGCTGCAGATGTTTGTGCGCAGCTGGACACGCCTTTTTCAAAACCCAGGTCAACATGGCAGCGTCAAACAGGACCCCTTCCTGCACAACACACCACTGCAGGCTCAGACAGACAGCCACTCTGCATAATATGTAATTGCTGTGATTTATCATTCCCTCAGTGAATCTCTGGGTGTTTGCCATATTGGGTTTAGTTGAAGGGAACAAAAATCAGCCTTTAATTTCACTTTACTGGTCATGTAAATTATCCTTGTGTGAAAGAACAGCATCAGGTACATGTGTAGGAATGTGCATGTACTTACCAGCAGAGGGCTGTAATATCCAGGCAGGTACTGCTCACTGATCTGAACCAGACACCAGAAGGCCTCCTGCCAGGGTTACATAAGGTGAACATTAGGTGCCATGATTGCTCGATCTATCTATCTATCTATCCATCTATCCATCTATCTATGTCTCTGAACCAGGTGGCAGGCCACGCAGCAGAATGCAAAAACAAAAACTGTATTTGATAGATGAAATGGAAGATTTCTCTTATTTCATTTCTCCACTGACATACATGGAATATTTTTAGGATGAATGTGCAGAAGGGTAAACAAAGGTGTTATTGTTTGCTACCTCAGCAGGCATGTTCATGAGCAGCACTGCAGCCACCGGCCCCTGTGCCTGACAGTAACCCTCCTCCGGTTGGTACTGAGTGTAGGCTTTCAACACATCGAACAAACAACGCTGCCTGCACACACAGCCACACACCACAATTACTAGTCACGCAAAGCTGAAGTTTAAATCTCACGATGATCTGAAATGAAGAATTAACTTTGATTGGAGGTGAATTTACAATAAAACTGAGCGAATATGTTTAATTCTGCATCATAAATCAAAGAAACAAGGAATGAAAAGATATAGTGGTACCAGCGGAGGCAAACTAAAGAAACTGACAGCTGTGTAGCTGTCAGCTTCTCAACAGAAACAAACAGACGAAGCCTTGCCTACCCGTGTCCATCCTTTGAGAGAAACATCTCGTGGAAAGGAAACTGTCTGTCCAGGTCTCTCTCGATCACATCCACCCAACTCTGCAGACCCGGCTTCAAGTTCAGAGACTAACACACAGACGTTGACACATTTGCATTTTAAATAACATCAACCAGTAATTCATTTTCAACACTGTGTTAATCAATCAGTTGAAAAGTGGTAATTTAATCTAATACTGCATCCTTTGAAACCAGGCTGCTGAATAATTATTTGAAAGCCACAGTGAGAGTTTAGTGTTCTTGCCTCATAGAGTTTTCCATTCTGTTTCATCTTCTCAGTGGCTCCACAAAGCAGAGGCCAGCACTTTGCTCTGACTGATGCAGGGATTCCTTTCTGACACTGCACTTTGACCTGAGGGAGAACAGACACCCAGGATCAGCTCAGAGAGTCATGAACGAATGATTACAGCCACGTGTTACTGTACTTGTATTGTCATTATGAATGCTAACAATCTCACAGCAGATTTATCATAGTAGGAAAAACACAGGTGTTTCTACTATCACTAACATTCAAATGTGCCGGTAAACCATGGCAATGTGACAGTATTAAAACCCTGAACTAATGGATCTCAGCCATCATCAGTTGTATTATTAGCTGTGCTTGTCCTGTAGTTTTGTGTCAAAATGTTTGATTTCTGTTACAATTTTAGTGACTTTAGGTGTCTAAGATGGGACACACCTTACTGCTCTTCTTCAACAAAATGCGATCCCATTGTCCAATAAGGCTTAGCCACTTTGTCTCCCTGTGTCTGACCAGTTCAGGAGATGGACCCACACTCCTGACACAACACAGCACACAAAACACCAGGTGAGCACTTTCAACATGAAGACAGCCACGACACAATTATTAAGACCTGAAAAAAAAAAACTTCATTTCATTGGAGACCTTTAAGCCAGTGTGCAGTGTTGCTGCAGGCACTTTTGTGTGTTGTCATGATAGAAACACAGCGCTCCGAAAAACAACACAGGAAACAGGAAAACCACACGTTAGCAGTCTGATGTCTCCATGGCAACAGGTCAGGATGTTATCAATGGGGGAAAGAGTGAAGATGGCAGGTAGCGGTTTGTTCAGCCAGTCTGATCATGAATTGGTTCTGCTTCCTCTGCAATCCAATGCCAGGATTGTTGTTTCAGTGCTTATTAAATGTCATGTAAAGATGTAGTCAACTGATTCGGAGAAAGTTCGCCAATCACATCTGACAGGGAAATTGCTCAGTATTTTCCATGCACACTACCTCAGTGGTAGTTTACGCCCTTTCTGTTAGAGATTCGTCAGCTTTTAACAGCCTATTTGTATCGTTTCCACTCTGAGGAGGCCCTTTGTGGCTGAAACTGACATTTTAACCAAAGTTTATGACAAAGTAAAGATTTAAACATGTCACCTCTAGTTGTTCTGCCCACAAGTGCCTGAAGAAGATTTTCATAGGTGTGGTCATCTTTTTTGTCTTTGGCTTTTTGAAATGTTTCCAAAATGGCACAACTTCAAATTGACCCTCAGTCATGCAGCTTGGAGCCACCAGCCTTCTCATTTAGCTTAACTTGTGTTTGATTCAGCCATTGCAACTTCAGATTTTGAACTGCTTTCTGTGCAAACAAGGCATTTCCTCTTGTTGGACGGTGCACTTTGATGTGGGAGCTACAGTTTACCATTAAAACCTGTTTACTAATTGTTTTCTGACTGCATTTTATTTATTTTATTTTATGTTATTAATCAGAATTATTAACGGCAGCTTCATGCCCAACACTTGTGTCTGGAATCCAGATGCTGATCTTCTCTCTTAAAAGTTTTGAAATAAAATACACAAGATATGAGGTCTCTTCACAACTTCCTGGCTTTGCCATGGAAGAAAACAACATTATTGTTTCATGTTACACTATATGCTCATCTGAGAAACTTTCAGTTCCCCTGGTTCATTGGATGGTTTTTCAGTTCTCAGGACATCGGCTTTATAATGATCAATAATTAAAGCGACAGTAAAAGAAAACTGTTTCCATGGTAACACAAAGTAATAGTGTTAAATCAATTGATTAGAGTGATGGGAGCATATGCACAGGTTAAATATTTGATTTTTTTTTGCAAAGCAAGCAGGGGTCCTTGTTTATTATATGGTTGATTCATAAAATCAGCTGGCATTGTGGATAAAGTAACGGCATCTGTAAAAAAAAATTGCCAAAATGACATTTATCAGAGCCAGACTGTCAAAACAGAAAGAATCGACAGACTTCCAGCTTTGGCTCAGTCCATGAACATATCATTTGTAGCTTGTAGTTCCAAATCTAAGCATAGCATTGTGATGTTTTAACAAAACCATTTTATTCTACAAGTCTCATTAAAAAAAACAAAAAACAAAAACATCTACTCTAACCAGATCCTGTGAAAACATGAAAATTTGGTGCTCCTTAGCCCAACCGTGAAGCCATTAGTGACACAGCTCCAACCAACAGTCGTGACAAATAGTCTGAGTTTTCAGATAAACTGCAGGCTGTGTTTGCACAAAACACAAAGTAAAAATATAAGCAGTAAAATATCCCCAGTATGTGGAAGTATTGGTAACATTGGTCAAATCATGTACATGTTGATTCCAGGTTTTCTCAGTTTTTATATTTCATATCAAATACATTAAACTTGAGGGTTTTTCTTTTCTTTTTTGAATGATTTATGGCATCATAACTGCATCATGCTGCGTAGAAGACATGTCTGATTTCTCTCTACTTCTAGCCATGGTTGTGTTGCTTCCATAGACATGGAGGACTTTAAATTGCAGTAAAAAAAATTAGTCCACAGCGAGTACACATGTAACAGGAGCTAGATAAATAAATAAATAAAGAAAGAAAGAAAGAAAGAAAGAAAGAAAGAAAGAAAGAAAGAAAGAAATGTCGAGAACCTGCTTGTGGTTCAGACATCAGGTGAAAAACATACCAATCAGAGATATTTAAATATAACACCAAATATTTTTCAACTACGAGATTTTGCATTAGCTCTTAGTGAACTCTTGTCAGTCTTTAGTAAAATAGTTTTGGTATTGGACCAATATTTTAAGGCTTACAGTGTATCAAATCTTTACACTTTCTGAACTTTATGGTGTCAACAACCTCAGATAAGCATGTCAATAAAACTGTCCCCTTGAAAAAAGAATGAAAGACAGACAGACAGACAGACAGACACAGTGTACCATGTTTTCATGATACTGCCAGCCTCAGTGAAAACAGTGACTGATGTGGAGGTGCTCACCCAGCTGTGGATCCATTGGTCAGAATGAAGCCAAACCGGTCTGTCTCCGGTTCCAGACTGACCTCTGACCCTGCATCTGAGCCAGAGCTGTCCTCCTCACTGAGGGTCCTCTGGGTTGGACTTGTCGGACTCAACATCTTGCTGAGAGAGATGAGGAGGCTCTCATCATCCAGTACGAATATATGAGGCCGATGTGGCTGTCTGTCAGAGATGTGTACAACATCAAATGTCAGAAACATTCAGCTACACCTGAACCCCATACAGTTGTTCTGCTGTCCCGCATTTTAAAAGAACACGTTTCAACACCTCTGGCTCAGCTTTTACCACTCGTGTGATGTCAGCTTCCTATAATTCAATCATAAACAAACCTGCAGTTGTTAAAGCTGTTAAAATAAGCCTTTAAAGGTGATTACCTTTTACAGTTCCGTCATATTTGCTCAGTCGGTTGGTGAAGTGTGAGATCTTCTAGCAATGGAAGAGGAAGACAAACTTCCTCCCTCTCTCTTGTTCATTTGCTCTCTCACTTGTTCACACCCTCTTTCTCACTCTGCCTTCATCTCTCATTGTTACAAATGCATGATATCATCACACTTAAATCAACTTCCCTCTGACCTGCTATGTGGACTTTTTTTTTTTTTGCAGTAAAACTCTTTTTTTTTTTTTTTTCGTCTTTTTTCTTTTATGGAAGTGATAGTTGATTGCTCAAATGTGTATGATTCATGAAACACGGGTAGGGAATATGTAATGTGTACTTTAATGCCCTTTAAAGTGCTTCCTCTTATCTGGAAAAAGTATTTATGCTGCTTTTGAATAGTGTAGGAAATGCTGCAATTCTACAAACCCAAACGTACTGCTCTGCCATTTCCTAGCTGATAACAAAAGCGGAATTCACGAGGTGCTCTTGAATGCAGCATAAATTCAACTGCGCAGTTCAGGGACCCTTCATCATCTAACACTTGTGGAAGCGGTGAGTCCGGTTAAATATTATTATAAAGACGAACGCATAACGGTTGAAGATTAATTTAGGCTTCATGAAAACGGACCACGTTGAGTTTACTTTTGCTGTTACTTATATTTCGCCAAAAATAATGCTAATTTAACTAGCTATTATGACTGTGAAGCCGGTTAGCGACGTATTAGCAAATCATGAGGAGTCACATTTGGGTAATACTCACATGTGTCGTCTGAATAAATTAAGAAGATAACTAAAGTTACGTTTTAAGAAAGATGCGGTGAGTTTAACATTTATGACGCGTTTATTTTATTGTTAAGGATGCGTGTGTTGTATGTAGGAGCCGGAGAATGCACCATCTGTCCTAAAACATTACTCAAGTACCCTCAAAATTGCGGATAAATCGCTCTCGTGACCAGTATTTTAACATATTAACGCCAAGACAGTCACGCGAGATACATTTTTTAGTACTTGATTCCACTTGGCAGGAAAAGTCCACAAATATTTGACGCGATAAGGACAGGTATTTCAGCTATTCAACTTTGCCATTTAAAGGGGGAAAAAAATCATGAGTGCAACTCCAGAAATACAACTAACGGTTATTTTTTTTCGATAAATTCCTGTTTTTCCCCGCTGTCCCGACGCCCCGTGAATGCAGCAAATCGCCAACGTAAAAGCTGGATTTGGGGCGACAGATTACGGGACGGTGGCGCTCAGCTGGCATCTTGTTTTCAGAGTACAGCTTTTGTAGGTTGCAACTGTGGAGGTTTCTTTCAGTCGAGCCCTCTGTGTGCGTTTCAATTCTTGTCTCGTGTATTTCAGCCATCCTCTTTGCCCAGATGTCTGCTGCTCTGAGTCTTCGTCTTCTCCACTGCTACTCAAAGCAAGGTACTGAAGCAGGTCTCAAACACAGTAACAGCCACAATGAACAGGAATGTATTTGTGTGTGTTTATATCTATGACAAATAGTCAACCACAGAGTTAATTCACTCCCAAATCAGTCATGGCTTTAAAGCACAATGATCAGATAATGTGGCCAGCACACAGACACTTTCACTGCTGCCTTAAAATGCTGCTTCAATCAAATGACAAGATGCCACAGATGACAAGAGGAAAAAAAGAGAACTGGATGCTGGCATGTAAGTTAGGGTTATAGTTAGACACTTGAATGTCCACAGCTCCACTATATGTCCTCTAAGAAATTGCTTCAATCAGCACCATGTGACAAACAATCTGCCACATGATGCTCTGGATGAATGTCTCCAAAAACCTCATCCTGTCTCCCAAAAATGTCCACAAACTTAACAGTCTTTCAAGAGGGCAAGAGGGAAACATTTTTCGCATACCAGCATTTTTCGCAAACAGCCTCATTTATTCTATACATCACAGATGTGTCACTCATTACTGTCTTGTTATTCTGCTAAATATGTTTTCCAACATTGTACGTACTTGGTTGTTTCACGGTGTCCATTCTGTTACAGAGATGTTGCGTGTTGAAACCACACTTGCTTAATCCCTTGTGTTCAAAGAATAACTAGAATTCAGTAAAATATTCCGTGCTGCGGTTATGTTTTTGTTCAGTGTATATGCACAAAATGAGGCCTGTTCACGTCACTTTTTGTATCACCTCTCCAGGCACATTTGGATGTGGCCCTGGTGTCATGCGCTCATTCAGTGTCACTGTGCCGAGAGAGGGCTACAGTAAGTACTGCTGTACACCAAAGCTTCCTCTATTATGGCACTTTCAGTGGAGTAAGCACATGCGATAGATTCTTATCTAACCACCCAACCCTCTCTCCCTTTATTCTGCTGGTAGAGTATGTAAATGCTCAGGAGTTGCCCACAGACTTGAAATCCATCACTGACCGGGCTGCCACAACCCTCCTATGGACTGAGCTCTTCAGAGGTAACATATAAAGTTGTTTCTGTGCAGTATGAGTTAAAACATAAGCCTGTTGGTGTTCTATATAATTTTTTATTATGAGCAAATCTCACAAGAAAGACCCACCATTAATCTAAATGACTAACGTTTCCTGTGTAGCCAAGGCCTGATAAAGCCCATTCCTCCTGTGTCACAAATCTACAATAACTATTTAACACAAATAGCTGAGTCACGTCATTGCACTGGGTGACATGATCCTTTATTACAATGAACACAGTCACCATAGTCTGAGTCATACTCCAGCTGTTTGCAGTGAAAAGTCACCAGCATACCGAACACATACTCATTTGCAGTTGATTTTACTTTATTCAACTTTATTGGAGGATGGACATGAATTCACATAAAGTACAGAATATCAATAGCTGATACAGTCTGAGACTTATAGTGTTCACATTACAGTCTTTGATGTAAAGAGACAGGATGCAGGAATCCATGTGACCATTTGACAGCACATTACCTCCAAGCCAGTTGCTCCTCAATTTAAAGAAATACAAATAAAATAGAAAAGACCACATGAAATGTATGATTTGCTCAGTTTACAAGTTCCTAATAATTACGTAAGTACTACTTATTCCAGTTTGCTAAAGGCAAGGTCAATTCCCAGCAGTTTTACGATATTATACTGCTTTTAAAAAAAATAAACTATATATTCATGACCTATTTTCAAAGATTCATGGACTGGTGCATGAGGCTGGGTTGAAAAATATTGATTGATGTTCGTACATATTGTTTGTTTTGTTCTTTTTGTGATATTTCTTCACAGTAAATGAAAAATTTATTCTACCACCACCGTTCACTATGACCAGCAGTCATCACTCTCTTTGATTCTTTCCTTCTTGCAGGTTTGGCGATGACGATGAGTTATCTGTTCCGCGAACCAGCCACCATCAACTATCCGTTTGAGAAGGGGCCTCTGTCGCCTCGTTTCCGTGGAGAGCACGCCCTCCGCCGCTACCCCAACGGAGAGGAGCGCTGCATCGCCTGTAAGCTGTGTGAGGCCATCTGCCCAGCTCAGGTAAACACAAACACACGCTTAACTCCTGCTGTAAAGACGTTTTCACTGATAGAGCTGTATTGTCTGACAAGATGGCTTAAACAATGTATAGAACGCTTATTACTGCTGGGTTCTATTTTTCAGAATAAAGCAAAGACTTTCTCTGTGTTTATTTTAGACAGCAATGAAAAGGGGGGAAATACAGTACAAATAAAAACATGTCTTCCTCAAGTTTATTGCACTTTTTTTCTCAGCAGTAGACACAACGCATGTGGCATGCTTCAAGTCAGCAGGGCACTAATTTCAAGGAGTGTCCATCAGTGTCCTCTTTTTAAAATATTTGTTGTTGTTTTTTAGTTTAATATTGGTTACAAAACAAACAACAGTAAGCATCTGTCACATATATTTTTCTGTTGTTTATACTGCATCCCCTGTGTCTCATTTCTTATGTCTGTCGTATATGTACAAACCACATGCTGTGCTTTTTCTGATGCAGGCTTGGATTTTATATTAAGCAACATAGACTCAGATTTGGTTGTCCAGACCAGATAAAATACATTTTATTTTGTCTAAATCAAACTGATTTTATCTAGTCTGGAGAATTCCTGCAGCGAATGTCCTGCTTGTCTCTCACATACACACACCACAAAATCCATTTTTATGCACAACGGTCAAGAAAAATAACTTAAAATTAAATGGAAAAACAAATGCTGCTAATACTTGAAGGCTACCTACTATGACCCTAAATTCCTATCTGAACTTCTGGTTTTATTTCTTCCCTTTCCTGCCTTTGTTGGACTCAGGCCATCACCATTGAGGCGGAGACTCGAGCTGATGGCAGCAGGAGAACAACACGCTACGACATCGACATGACCAAGTGCATCTACTGTGGTTTCTGCCAGGAAGCTTGTCCTGTTGATGCCATTGTTGAGGTAAGAAAAAAAGCTTCAAACAAGGTGCTGGTAGGATCATTTAAGAGCATCTTTTCCACTTTTTACCCACCAAAGCAACGTACCATTTAAAACATGTTTACCTTTAGATATGATGGTACAACCAAACCCTGTTGGTCTGAAACATACTTAAGCCTGAGCTAAAATGGGAACTTGAATTCAGTGAGATGCAAGATTTATTTATTGTACCATTGCTATATATTGATTCATGCATTTTTGATTATTCTAGTCTAACACTGCTTGGGTTCTTTTGAGAAACCCCTCGTCATGATTGTTTTCCATTTGTCACAAGAACTAAAGGCGTATCAGATGCACAGTTAAATTTAGATTGTAAAAATATAGGTTGATCGTGCAGACTGTTCACCTAAAAGTCATGTCTTGCCTTCAGAAAATATATGTTTAATGCTATCAAACAAGGCATCATACACTCAACCCACCATCAAAACAATGTGTTTACATTTAGACCTGCTGACATTTAATATCTTCTCGCTCCTTCAATCCCTCCCACAGGGTCCAAACTTTGAGTTCTCCACAGAGACCCATGAGGAGCTGCTGTACAACAAGGAAAAGCTGCTCAACAACGGAGACCGATGGGAGGCTGAGATAGCGGCCAACATACAGGCAGACTACCTGTACAGATAGACTGACTGTTGTGTCTGTGCACTCCCTGTGAGGATATGTCACATGTTGAATCTTATCCTCCCTATATGCAATAAAGAGATTACTTATAGCTTTACAAATATTTCAGTGAGTTATAAATGAGCAATGAAGCCTTGCAGCCTCAAAAACGCACAAATTATACTGTCTTGTGTTACAAAGATGGTCGATATTGCACTTTTTGGTGTTGACTTTATAATCTGTAATCCCTGCAGCCCAATGTGCAGCCTGCTAGACTATTTCTGTAGCACCTTAAAGCACGTTTTACCTAATTTACCAGCTAGAACATTTGTGAAACAGAATATTAAAGTCATGTTTATTCTGAGATGATTTAAGATACTGAAATAAATCATATTTCCAGACTGTTTATGTGTCTCTGAGTCTAGCTTTAAAGTAGAAAGATTTGCTGCCTTTTTACTGTTTAATATCACAGTAAGTATCCCCAGCTTGATGGTCTGTAGGAAAAAAACAAGACTTTAATTCAATTTAATTGCTTATCTCTGTCTCTTAGAGTGGTGAAGCGGAGTAAATGTACTGTACTTAAGTACAGATTTGACATACTTAGTTATTTCTATGTATTGTTACTTCTACTTATGCTTATTTTGGGGACAAACATTGTACTTCGTATTCTGCTTCATTTATTTTAAATGTTTTTCGTAATTAGTTAATTTGCAGATTTAGATTAATAATATAATTAACATATACTTTCGAATGAAAATCAACTCATGAATCATGCTACATTATTCTAGATTAAACTACCCACCAGTGTATAAGGCAAATAAAATTAGCTTCAGCTTCAACATTCAAGTGATATACAATTTAATGAATAATTATAACCCCAATATATATATATAATATGTGTGTGTGTGTGTGTGTTTTAATTTAGGTACTTGAAGAATATTTTGACAATATACTTTTGTAAAATCGTAGTAGTAGTAGTAGTAGTAGTAGTCGAAGTAGTAGTAGTAGTAGTAGTATAGTATTACTTTTGTAATACTATATCATACTTTTGTTTATCCGAATCAATTTTATTACCAGATTACGTTTTCACATACAAGGTATCTGACTCAGTGTTTTAGCACATGATCGTGAACACTGACAACTAGAACATTTAAAGGATGAGAAATTTTAAAAATAAAAAGTGTTGCAAGTTAAATAAACTACAGTGTAAGTGTTACAAGACAAAAACCAAGTGTAACAAATCTATTATTTTAATAGGACTGAAAATACGTCGTGTTATTTAAGTGAGGCAGCTGTACATATATAATTTTTATTTTTTTTTACACTGTAAAAGTATTTCTCTCTCTCTCTTTTTTTTTTTAACAAAAAGAACCCTTTTTTCTTTTTTTTTCTCCCGCCACAGGTCTGCTGTGCTGATTAGATAAAAACAACGGTTTGGGATACTGAGCACTTGTGACAATCATTTTCTACTACTATACAATCAGGAAAATGTAATTGTATTAATCAGTAATATAAATCATGTTTATAATGTGCCAGTTAACGTCACAAGTCAGTTAATTAGGCTGCAGACTTCAAACGTTTTTAAAAAAAAATCTGTATAAAACATGCAATCTACAGTTTGGATGATACCTCTAGTACAGGGTAAACCACGGCCGATTTCGCCACATTTTTTTATGGATGCGTCTTTTTTTTAGATTAACAGAGTATATTTATGTGGAGGCTGAATGCTGAATCATGGTCTCTGAGCACCGAGGTTCATGCTCTGAAGGCAGATGCGTTTTTGCCGCTGCGGTGATCACATGATAAGGGCGGAAACTGACTCATAGTCCACGCTGAATCTCCCGCGAACGCAGCCATTTACTCTTTTCTCTCTTCGCAGTGACACCGGTGAGTCCCTATATTTCTTTCTCACTGCGGGCCTGCTAAATTTCAAGTTTGGACTTCCTGGGAAAGTCTGTTAAAACAACCGGCAACTTAAATGTACGCCTCGGATTTGCGTGGTCCCTTATGTGTAGCCATGTGAGGGACGAGCAACTAGGTTAGGCCATTGATTTTCGTGTGCTAACGTAGCCGTTAGCTCGCTGGGAAGAATGGCTTCCATGCTGTTGCGAGCTAACAGGTTAGCATCGCCGCTCTCCCTCATTTCACTGCTTTGTTCTTCAGAGCCGCTCGTGTTTCTGTAATTACGTGTGTCCACTAATATAGCGAAAACTAATCTTGAATGCAAAATGTTGGCTTCGTGTGTGGGGTTTGGTTTTTGGTGAAGTTAGCCATCAACTGCAACGTGGAACATATTAGACGGTCTTCCAGTCCGATTGTTCCAGTCGAACAAGAAAAAGTGCGGTCGCGCGTCGTATGGCGCACTCAGACTAACGGCAGTAGCTTGTTAGCTAGCCAGCTAGCAGCTGCTGGTGTGGAATTGCGAGGCTCTGATGCGGGCTCGTTAAAATTAAATGTGCGACGTTTTGTTATTTTTGCTTGACACCGTGTGATTTGAACATATTCAGACATTACGACAACGGTGAACGTTACACGTCGGAACGTTAGCTCGGATGGAACATGCTAGAAGTCGTTATCGGTAGCTAACAGACCATTTAGCCGTAAAGTAAACCGCTCTAAGCGTCAAAACAAATTGTGGCCGGTTATCCATATTTATTCTTTTCAAAACGTCAGATCAGGTATTTGCCAACAGCGCTAGTTTACTGACGACTACTTGACTCGGTGGACAGGAGGACGACTGAAAACGTGCTAACTAACCATCCCGCCTTGTTGTGTTTAACTCAGATAAGTCGCAACCACGGCGGACTCAATGGCACAGTGTGTTCCGGTGGCGGTGTTTAAGGTAAGTGCTCACTCTGTAGCATCACTTTCGTGTTAATTGACTGCATTTTAAGAGAAAATAATGGCCCTTGTGGTAGTTGCTGTGCTAACTGTGCTATCGGTCGGTGTGGTGAACCAGTATTAACCAGTCTGAACTAACTGTGGTCTCCTGCTTACAGCTGGTGTTAGTAGGAGATGGAGGCACCGGAAAAACGACTTTCGTCAAGCGGCACATCACGGGAGAGTTTGAGAAGAAATATGTGGGTCAGTACTCATCCAAGAAGAAGTGAATGACACCCAAGTATTTTACAGATAATTAGCTGAAGAGCTGTAACTTATCTCAGCTGTGATGCAAAGTCATTGGCAGTAGATGTTGGATCAGTATGGAGGGCCAGATGAAGTACTTAGTGGGCCCTGACCCAAATCGGGAGCAGTCGGCCTTTGCTGAATGCTAAAGTAGTTTTGGGGAAATTTAGACTACATATTTACTTGTCAAGTGTTAAATATCCCACTTATCCTTTCATCTTGGTCCACATCAGTATGAAAACAGTCTCAGCGATGAATGGATCACCGTTTCCACCATTGTTGTTCTCATACATCTTGTCTTTGTAATTTCAGCCACTCTCGGAGTAGAGGTGCACCCACTGATGTTCCACACCAACAGAGGAGCCATCAAGTATAATGTGTGGGACACAGCTGGTCAGGAGAAGTTTGGAGGCCTGAGAGATGGCTACTACATTCAAGGTACTCATCACATCCTTGGCATGCTACTTTAGGTATCAGAGCCTTCCCGGCCGGTATACATTTAAATCCATCCCTTCTCTCCTACACTGAATAGTCATGTGTTAAAACTTTCCTCCTCCCTCAACAGCTCAGTGTGCTATCATCATGTTTGACGTCACCTCTCGAGTCACCTATAAGAACGTGCCCAACTGGCATCGTGATCTGGTCCGTGTGTGTGAGAACATTCCCATCGTCCTCTGCGGCAACAAGGTGGACATCAAAGACAGGAAAGTCAAAGCCAAGAGCATTGTGTTTCACCGTAAGAAGAACCTGCAGGTAATAAGTGCTCACAAACGTCAGCATGTGTTCCTTATCATGAACGCATGTCACTTGTCAATTGTAGGACGTGCTGGTTAGGAGTGAACTGTAGTTTTTAACTATTGTGAACTGCTCTGTCCCCAGTACTACGACATTTCTGCCAAGAGTAACTACAACTTTGAGAAGCCTTTCCTGTGGTTAGCAAGGAAGTTGATTGGTGATCCCAACCTGGAGTTTGTGGCAATGCCTGCCCTCGCTCCCCCAGAGGTCCAGATGGACCCCTCTCTTGCCGCTAAGTATGAGGAAGAGCTTCAAGTAAGTATAACCGGACAAACTCAAATCTGGCATCTTCTTTGACTGAACTAAGTGTACATAGATAAAGGTCTGTGTTAACACCAGTTTACATTGGGGGAATCTAAAAATTATATTTGCCTTCAACTCTCCAGGTTGCATCACAAACAGCACTCCCAGATGAAGAAGATGACCTCTAACATGTTCCCTGGATTTCCCCTCTCACCCCAACTGTGGACAGGAAGTTATTGGAGTTTTGCCCCCTTTACTGTAAAATCCCTTTTCAGATTTTTTTATTTTTGAATTTTTTTGTTTGTTTTAAAACTAAGAAAAAAACTTGGTGGAAAAGTTGTGGTTCTAATTTCACTGTATAAGACACACCCACCCTAGTGTTGTCGTCGGCATGGCAACGTGCTACTCTTCATCGTCGAGCACCCTCCACTGCACTTACCCAGCTCACATAATGCTGTTGTATGGTGTACTGGAAACACTAAGGGGAGTAAACTTTGAATAAAAACATTCTCAATATACCATGTCTGTGTTTTGCTGTAATTTGTCTTAATGGCAGCATCCTTACAGTCACAGGGATGCTTTTGTAGCTGAAAATAGTTCCAATATGCCTCTTCATGTAGGGAATTTTCACTAGTCATAGTAGAAAAAACACAATTGTAGACAGCATAATTATGTTCAACTACCTCAGTAGGTATAGCGATGTGATAGTGGGTGACATGCACAATCCAGGGCCCCGAAATTGAAGAGGCTACATAGAATTCATAGATTGTGTTTTATTTTTTCACACATGTACTTTTCCTCAAGCCTGTCATTCAGTAGTCCTTGATGTGCAAAATTGCATCCAATGAGTCCAGTACAATTAGATAAAGTGACACTGAAGTGTAAAGAAAGGGGAAAAAATATTGTAATGGCGACTCAACACAAACCGATTCTAGCCTCCTCCATTGTGTTGTTGCCACGTCTAATATTTAGAAACCTGTGCAAATTGGAGCTGGATTTTTTTCCCCCTCTGATTTTGGTTAACACTACTACAGAAAATGATTGTATTATGCATCCATTGTGTTCAGAAATGTTAAAGCAGAAACGATATCCTTTTATTTTGCCTCTAAGATTAACAACTTGGCAAAGCAGGTGACTTCTGAGGCGTTATTTTTACATTTAAAAACCCCTTTCAGACTTTCAAAGATGCAAATACTCAACTTTGAGGAGAGTGACAGACATGGCTTTTCCATAAAGCTCAATGACCTGGCTAAAACTACAACTATGCCTCCTCTTCAGTAAACAATGTATGAACAGACGACAAATTACAAAAGTTGATTGCATACAACTTGTCACTTTCATTGCTAAAAGGCTGTTCTGAGTGTTTGCATCATGCAGACTTCAAGTTTCCACATCACGCTTGTGTAAGCTGCCTGCTGGAGGAGACTTGGCTTCCACACAAGCTCATGTTCATGCTTGCAGGTAGGTGTCTTTAAAACACACTTTAGGCCAGCTCAGAGAAAGTGCAACTGACTTCTACTGTGAGTCATTGAAGATGAAATATACAAGAGGGAGAAAAAACCAGTTTGAGTCAAAACGGACTAAAGAAATACTAAATAATAAATCCAATTACTGTTACCATAAAGTACTAGACAGAACACGTGGGAACTGGGAGTATTACTCAGATATAGCAGTGTCTGATGTTCTTCTGTTTGAAATACAGCTGCTGTGTGACACTGTTCTACATGGAAACCTAAGTGAGACATGGTGCTGTGATAAGACTAGGCTTTAACGGGCATTTCCATGAATAGTCGACGCTTTTCTTATAACCTGATTCTGACTCCCTGCTCGCCACCAGGTGTCGCTCCTGTCCTATAATTCGGAGCGCCGTGCACGCGCCACTCTGCATTACGTAATAGTTTTGCTCTGCACATTCATTGTGACGTCGGCCTGCAGCCGGTTACTACGCGGATCTGAGCGCTCCATCATTCATCCTCCATATTGCGCCACACATTCACAATCATCTCATTTTCAAACATCTAGACCTGCAGCTTTGAAACAGTCAAACACAACCACCCTATAATTATACAAAGGGACCACAAAAAAGGAAAGGGACGTCAAGATCTAGTAACATGAAGAAAAAAAACATTAAAAAAAAAAAAAATCTGCTTTACTGAGCATATAAAATGATTACAGTTTACATCAAGTGAGGTTGAGTGTGTTTTAATAAATATCTGTGACTGAAACCCAGCAATAAGCTAGCCATTCATTCATTTATTAAGGCTGTTTAAATCCACCACCCTGCAGGTCATATGAGGTAAAAAATCAGCATCAATGTTGCACCACAGTATGAAGATATTATAACAGAACACAACAATACATGGTTTCTATACAAACATGTACAAAATGCACAACTTTATGAAAACAGGAGGTTTCTCTCCCCTGACTGGTTTTACAGCAATAACACCATTTTATTTAATGTACATATAGAAATTAGTGATGCACGATATTAAAATTTCTGGCCGATACGATATCCGATATAAAAATTTCTGATATCGCTAATAACCGATATTACGGATGTCGATATTCAATTTTTGTTTACACTGTCATATGAGTATAAGTAAGCACTGTGAGAATGTGAAAACTATTCAAAAGAAGCCCATTCCAAATAAAACACATAGTCTTCTTTATTAACAAAAGTAAAACATATTTAAACATATTTTAACATATTTTATGTTCAAGTCCAGGACCATTTAAGTAAACACATCTGTAAAATAGCAGCAATATCAAATGTGGAGACGAAGGCGGTAATGTTAGACAATCATTGGTTTTTCACATCGACTAATGTGACAATCAATACACCTTGCTTTTGCATATAGGAAAGTGTATACAACAAATAAAGCTCTATTGACTAAGTAAGCATAACTCACAAAGTGTATGATGACTGTCTATTAAAAAACAAATCAACATGGCTCAGAGAAGTTTTATTTTGAATTTTTAATGTTTCACTACTTTCTGGGATAAAGATGAATATTTTCAACATACATAAATAGAAATGTTGGTCATTCTGGTTAACCTACAGACACTGAGACAACAGTGGGGAGAAATCGCTTCATCATCTGCTGTTTCCAAGATCAAGAAGGAATTCTCAATCTTGATCCCAAATTGCTCTCAGACATGGATAAAATCCTTATCTGTTGAAAGAGATGTTGTGATATGACTGAAGCTTCTCACTAAGTGGACTTTGAGATGACTTGTTTTGTCAACTTGCTTTACTTGTGTATTTGTATACTTAATTTTATATTGTCTTTATGTAGTTTGGTTTAATTTGCACTTTATGAGGAACTTAAATAAATTGGCTCCGGTTCAATAAAGCTAAACAGTTAAAGAAGTCATAAAGGGAAGACAATGGATGTAATAAAAACATAACATAATCTCCTCTGGCAAGTTAATATTCAATGTCAAGTATCAAATTAATGGAGAAGAGCTGTGAATTCTTTGTTTTGAGCTCTGAAGTAGTGAATTATGTAAGTTAGTTTGAAGCATTTCCTCTGACATGCTGGTTACCTGCTGGTTTCCTTATTTAGGCTTATGATCTTGGGTGTTGCCATACTAATGTGCTGTGGCATGTCTGTGCCTCATATAGATACCATGATGATGTTGGCAGGACAATTTGACCGACAGGTTTTCATGACATGTTTATACCAAAGACATGTGCCACAAAATGAGCTCCAAAAGACTGAAACATGCTCCTGCTTATAGGCAAACCTGTGGGCATATATTATAGATATAGACATTGGGTGCTTCTTTATTAACTGTATGCTTTAAAACATCCCACTTATGTATTTAAAAATGTTAGTAGTGTTTGTGTTTTGGCTCTAGGAATGGTGGTGTTGCTCTTTCAATGCACTGCTTTGATCCAGTAGATTGTAGTCTCAGTAGTAGACTGAGATGATATCGTTAATCCAGAGACAGAATCCTACTGATTTTCATGACTTTTGCTCCAGTGTAGCTTCAAGTTTGACATTTTAGGCTTTTAGTCAAATGTTTTGACAACTTTTGGATGTTTTACTTAGAGATTTAGTACATGTATCCATGGTGCCAAGAGACTAAATCCTCATGGCTTTGGTGATCTCTTGACATTTATTTTAGCTGGCGGCACCAGCAGGTCAAAATTTTCACTTATCCTAAAATATCTCCACATCTACTTAATGGATTGCCTTAAAATGACTTTAGTGACTTTTCTTTTATTGCCACTATAAGGTTGACGTTTGTGATTCTGAGAAAAAAAAAACCATTTCAACAACTATTTGAAATGCTGCTGGGGCATTAGTTTCCAGCACTCATGTTCCCCTCAGGATGAACTCCAATCACTTGATCCTTTGACGTGACTGGTGTCACTGGGTCAAAATAACAACATTTTAATTTGTCCAGTGCTTTGGTTTGGGTTTGATTTATGACCAAAGCATGTCAGCATTGTTATTGTGAACATGTTAACCTGCTGAATTTGCCTGCATTTTCTTCTCTGTTTCAAAGCTTTACTGGAGTTGAATCAACCAACAAGGCTGCTTGGTGTTTATTTCCACACAATGCTGTTAAAATATGGAAGATCTGTGTACAAGTTGTTCAAGGAGCCTCTACGAACTATAGTTACCTATAACACACTCTATAGACTCCTATACGCATCTCCCATGCAGTGTTTGGTGTCTTTGCAGAAGCAGAATTTCTGCGTCTGCCCTGCTTAACCAGACACCATAACATCATATGTGTACAGTGCAGCAAATAAACACTTACCTTGACCTATATTTAGAAAATATAATACAAGACAGAAAATTCTTTTGTGTGCAGAAGAACTGCCAAAATACCACGGTCTCTGTAAAAGGAGATTTATGAGCTTTTGTTTGTCATATGCTCATACAGTATGTGTCTATTCCACAAGGCCGCGCAAGAACAAAAAGACATTATAAAAAACATTCTAAAATAACAGAAAATTAAAAAAAAAAAAAAAAAGCCATAACGACATAAATGATGGAAGTAGAGATTGTGAAAGTAAAGTACAGTATACATTATACAAGAGCTGTAGTTGTGTGTTGTGTATGTGTCTGTGTGTTGTTATGAATGGGAGCGTGGGTGGGCAATCGTCTATACATATTTACATTGACTAGATGCTTATTACATAAGGACAAAGCATATTGAATATATATCAAATTATTTCATATTCATTCTTTTTCTTCTTTTTTTCTCTCTCTCTGAAAAGCCATGCTCTTTTTTTTTTCTTTTATTCAGCATGATGGGAGGCTCCAGATGTTGGTATTCCGACAACACCTGAATGCATCATCCGTGCAGGTGGCTCAGGGCGTGGCTTCATCCCGGCTGACAGAGACCGGCCTGCGCATGCGTGAGCCAGAAAAGTGCGTTTTAGTATGATTACTGGTGGCCAGCGGAGAGACAGATTATACGGCTCTACACAACTGTTGTTTTAATCCCCTGGGCGAGGAGATTTAGCAGGAAAAAACACTGGCTTTAAACCCAGCAGCCATATTGTATGGAAAAACGACGGAAAGACTCCAGTTTTCAGAAAAAGTCGACTTCTCAGACACCTCTGTCAGGACTTTTGGGGAGTTTAATTTTCTCTCTTACTGGCGGTGGGTTGCTGCTGCACAGCTAGCTCGCCAGCTGGCTGGGAGAAAAAGAGATTGGGACTAGTTTTTCCAGCCATTTCACACAATATTGTGGTTATTTCTTTGGCTTAGAAGTGTGAAACTGAACGGCTGAAAAAATGAAGGACCGATTGGAGCAACTTAAAGCGGTAAGTAGGGTGCAGGAAATGCTGAGTGTCTCTTTTTCCTCTTCAGTGTTGTCTCTGTGTGTGTGTGTGTGCACTTTAAGAGACATTTAAATAACTTTAATTTAATAGGAATATTTGTATTGCTATTTCCACTTTCACTCAAGTGCTGACCATAAATAAATGACATAACAGTGTATTACTTTGAACCAATATTGTACTCTGTGATGACATAACTCATCGGATGGATATAGTAACACTGCAGCTGGGATTGTGATTTGAAATGGGGGCTGTTGTGTATAAGTGATTCCTAATTCATTTTTATACAGCTATGTTGTATCTTGTGTCTGATAAATACTGAGATATAATGTGAACTGTTAAATAATTATTTGCTGAATTGTCCTATCCATATAGTTGGTGCTCTAAATGTTGTATATGATGTGGACAAATTCAGTTTAATTCACTCAGCAATTGCTTTGGGGAGTCCCAGCTGAAAATGACAACTGGTTAATCATTCTGTTTTCACTTTTATTGATTAGCTGATGCCCCTTGAGGCTGAAGTTGTTCAATCGACAGAAAATTAATCTGGTGATCGATCAGTTACTTAAGATGCTGACAAGATAGTGTTAACGTTCTCTGGTGTGTTAAGAACTTACATCTACTTTCTCTATTTATGTTTAATTTCACTGTTGAAATAAAAATATTTAGTCTTTCACAGGAAGAAGAAAAGCAGGTTGAAGATGTCACCTTGGATTTAGGGATATTTGAAATTTTACAGGCGATGAATTACAATTTAAAAAAAAAAAAGGACTAATCATGAATGAAAATATATGTAATTTGGCCATGCTAGTTGCCATTACTGTTAAAAACATTAAAATATAGTACATATAATGTAGATTCTGTCAAATGGACACATGATGTTCAGCTAAGGTGGACTCAACCCAAATCTTATACCTCTTGTATTTAGCCATCACAGGGGATTACTGAGTGGAATTAGTAGCAGCGCAAACACCCACTTTATTCAAATTTCCTCAGTTCAGAATCGAGTAAACGACAGTAAGTACGCTGGCGGTCCTCGGGGGATGACGCCTTGATCCTCTTGTAACCCAAGATGGGATGTGTTGCTATAGCTACCTGAAACTGCTGGACAAATATTTGCAGTGTTTGAAATTGCTGAACTACGGTATCTTCCCCCCCTCCAGGCGTCTGCATCTCACACAGCTGACTTCATTTCAGTGAAAGGAAGTACACATTGCAAGGGAAGTAGGCCAGTCATTTGTTGGGAAGCTGACACTACACACTGTATGTTGTACTTTATATCGCTGTAACGATGTGTAACTGTTCTTTAGCAATGCTCGCCTACATTCTAACTACTTTCCCCGCCGTTCCTTTATCTTCCTGCCTTATCCACACTCACCTTCTGCCTTTATTTTCCTCCTTGAGTTTCCTTTTTAATGTTTAACTTGCTGGCAGTAACCTAGGCTGTGTATGTGTCTGTGTAGGCATATGTTCAGTTTGCTCATGCCACCAGCGCATGGTCATGTCACCTGATACGCTGTAGACTGGGGGAGTTTTGAAAAATATCAAGAGCACAAGTTGACAACCTTGCTTTTGAAATTAATGTCAACTCACTTCTGAGCCTTGTTATTGGAGGTTGATGTTAACTTAAGAAAGTGTTCTGTTGTTTGCCTCTTTTGTTCCAATTCCCACAGAGTATTTTCAGATGTACTTTCAGCCACAGCCGCATCCCTTTCAGTTCTGTGTGCTTAGTGTTTCCCATCCACGTAGTAAAGACCGGGTGGGTTACTGCTCTTGCTCTGCTTCCCCACCTGGCTCAGATGTCAGCGCAATGAATGGCAAAATTGTAACAGCACTAGCATGGTTTCCTCTGTGGCATATGGAGTTTTTAAATCCCTTGTCCGATTTCAGCTTTGCACTAACACAAGTTCTGATGGTGTATATTGGCTTCTGTCACCGCGCTGGTGTAAATCTGACCCTGCGTCCCCATCCTGCTGCTGTAATAGCTTGCAGCTCATTTTCTAAAGCATCCCGTGGGAGATTTTCGTGTTTAGGACTGCAACTAACAATTAATTCTATTGTTGATTCATTCTTTGGTCTGTCAAAAGTAAAAAAAAAACCCAAACTGTGTAGCATTCAGGATCACAGTGGTCAAAGATAATGTGTTCAGATGGTTTGTTTTGCCCAACACAGCCGTCCAAAGATGTTCAGTTACTGGTATTACAAAGAAGCAACAAATCATTATAAATGAGTGGCTGAAACCCTGGGAAGTTTTCATTTTTGCTTGAAGAGAAACTATTAATTGTTTATCAAGGCAACTGCTGTGTACGTACTTTGATTGGCTAGTTGATTAATCTACTTGTGTGCACGTTATGGCGTCTTTGTCGTCTCAATTTAGTCTTTGTCAGCCCTCCTCTCTCTCAGCTGTCCTTCATTGTGTCAGAGTGTGTTAGGTTTCTTCATTTATGATACTGAGAGACAAAGTCTAAAAGTTTATTACCTCCTAGTTTCTTAAAGATGATGGCGTCATGAGAACAATAAATGAGAGAGCGGGTTTAATATGAGCCACGATAGCAGCTGAACTAACTGCATTGTGTACACATGGTTTTGTATGAGATGATGAGTCACACAGGTTGCTTTTTGTGGCTCATTCTGTGTGGTTGAACGTGTAAACCGATATGTTTATTTGATTTTTTTTCAGAGTCATTCCTGATAGGATTATTAGTGATGAATTCTCGTGACTTGACGTGTAACCAATCAGATAGTGAGATGTTGTTGGAGACCTCAGAGTGGTGACTAAAGACAGAGAGAGTCAAAGTAGCACATTTTAAAGATTTAGTTTATTAGGAATCAGTTTTTAAAAAACATGATACCAATCATTGGAAAAACGATAAATATCTGATCCAAGCTGATAATTGGTTGACCCATAATGGTCTGTATAAATACTCCGTATGCACTTTTCTAGTAAATAGCATAGATGACATGTGTGTTTCCCTTGGAGCTTTATTTTTATTTGATCTTTTTTAACTTTTTACTGTTACACACCTTTGATCGAATGTTCCAGTAAGATCAGAATAACTTACAATTCAGGCTCCAATGTTAACAGAGCTTGCCAGCTTGATGACTAGTTTTGTGGATCACAGTGTTTTCTTCAGAGTAAAACCTCTGTGCAGTCATTGCCTTAGTGAGGTGAATTACGCAACACGACATATGGTGCTTTGTATGCAGAATAAGCATAATTAAGTGTTTTGCATAAAAGGAACAAGCCAGCGTCCGAACTAACATGCGCATCATTCATGTGCGGCGTGTGTGCTGTTTTCTAATCTTGATGTCCAGTGTGTGTTTAAGATTTTGATGATTGCACAATCTTCAGTATGAGATTATAGCATTTATGTTGTTTGTGGTTTAACAGGAGAGAGAATTTATTTGCTGCTGCATGGTTCATTCTGTCAGGCAGCACTTTGGCTCACAGAACCATTAAACCCACAATGTGTGTTTTCTGTTTTAAAAAAAAAATACCAATGAAGAAAGAAGACAGTGGGTAATGTTAGTCTTGTTCTGCTCTACACACGTCTCTAAAATGTTGAGATATCTCACACTGCTCTTTCAAAACCACAACCAATTATGAAGCATTGCGCAACTTCCAGCCTTCATGACATGGCCTGAAACATTATGAGGTTATCGTTTTACGAATAAACAGTTTGATCCAAGAAGTCTTCTGACAGTAATAGATGTGCTCAAGTTGAATCATGAGATGAGCAAGTGGATTTAACGAGGAATGTTGTAAAAGTTTTCTTGATGACTTGGATAAAGTCAGTGTCTCTGACCGTTCCTGTCAGCATCAAGCTGTTTTTACACAGAAGTGAGCGCCTGTGTGTGTGGCCTTTGGCTGTTTGGTTTGTTGCACACATCAGCCCCTTTCCTCTTGTTCTTGCTGAATGAGAGACACTGGAAGGAAGTGTTCGCTTGTGCTTATCTCACTACTGCAGAAATGCTGCGTGAGAGAGCATAAAGTGTGAGCGTTTGATGAATAACCCTCCAAGAGATTCAAAAACAAGCATTGTGTCAGCGTGTGTCCAGGTACTCTGTGTTCACAAATGTTGTTAGTTCCAGCAGCCTGAACCAAATAGTCCAGGCTACATTTGCAATTCAAATTTTAGACAAGGGTAGAAGGTGAAAGAGAATTTAAAACTCAGCATTTAGATGAATGCAGTAAATGTTAGTGCCCAGTGGGGCGTTTTAATTATTCATGAATACGCTGATTGTTTTCTTAGTTAATCATTTTGTCTTTTAAAATGTGAAACTATCAAAAAACTATGTGTGAACTGAAAAGTTTACTATCAAATATGACAAAGAAAAGAAGAAAATGCTAAGATTAGAAGTTCAAATCATTAAATGTTTGACAATTTTGGCTGAAAAGTGATGACACAGTTAGTTGATTAGCAAAATAGATACTGATTAATTTTCTGTCAACTGCTTTATTTATCAACCGGCTGTTGTAGCTTTTGCTCCTGGCTTCCTTTTAAAATCGTTGCATCGTGCCTTGTCAAACTCAACAACAAACTGACCAACAGTGTAGCTACTGAGCTGATTCAGTGTAAAACAACTGTAATATTTATGGAGCTTACTAGTTTAGAGATTGAGGCTGAGCCAGTTGGTATGAGAGAGCCGGGAAGTCCACAGCTGTGACGCCTAACATTTTCCATGCCTTGACTTTGACCCAGGTGCACACCTGACTTTCACACCTGAAGAGTCCAGACTTCAGACTCGGTCACACTTCACAAACACAAGCTGCTAAATGTGAGGAGCTTATCAGCTGGCAAAACTCATCAGGAATTAAAACCTATTTGACTTTAAAAGCAGAAGTAATAAAAAAGGCAGGACACGACTGGAACCTGCTGTCAGTTTTCCACTCATTGTTCCACTTTTATTCTCCACGTCACATTTCGGCCTTATTGAATGTTTGCTCGGTGCCCTAGTTGTGGTTTCTAACGTCAGTTTTAAAGTGAGCTGAGAGCAGGCTGGGTTCCTGGAGCCCGGCCCTGGTCCTTCCATGTAAATATTCAGCGGCAGTGCAGAGTTCTTTGTGGCCTAGTGTTTGCTGACTATCCCTTGTGACATATTAATGACTTGAGCAGAGTGAAGCTTTCTGATAAAATGTATTGGGTGTTGGCCAATCAGTGTCAGAGCAGGACTTCTGGTTGATGTGTCATGCTGAGCTGCTAACAACACAGCATGTTCTGTTAGTATGAGCCTTCTTGTTTTAGATGGTGTTTAGTGCCATTTCCAACTGGACAAGAAACACATTGTTGGACATGACAATTAAAAGGTGTTTCACAGAATATTGGCACAAAATCTCAGTTTAATGCCATGAGTTAAAATGTCAGTGTTAGCCTGTAAAAACTGTAAGATAAAGAAAGGAATGGCAACAGTTTTTGATATGAGTCCTCAGTATTTTAGCAATGCAGACTGAAAGTAGCATGTTATAAAGTGTCTTTAACTATTTAATTTTTGAACATATATTTGCTGAAGGTTATTGTACGGCTGTTTAGTGTTGAGACAAAACTGAAAGGACATTTTTGGGAATTACCGTTGTTTGTTTTGGTTTTTTTGAAGAGAGTCAGATGACAAGCTCGATCTCTCTCTCAGGTCTGTAAGGTAAATATGACACTACTACCAGCAGCCAGTTTGTATAGCTTTGGGCAGAGTGTAGATGTATTAGGAAACAGCAAGGTTTGCCTCCTAAGTAATAAAATGTGGCTACCAGTGCCTCGAAAGCTCTCTCGTTATCACATTATACCTTCTTTTTATAATCCATGCAAAGACCAAAGTGTAAAAACAACTGGCTTGGTTTTATTGGTGGTTGTACATCCGACTATTTATTGACAGTGACCAGCAACTTCCCTCGTATGACTGAATTCCAGGAAATGATCCACATACATTTGAGAAGGTTAGCTCATTTGGGTAAATATCAAAACATTTATGTGGAAAAACATGTTCTTGTATCTAAAAATAGATTGTTTTGGTATTAAATTTTAGTTGATACATGTAAAATAGATCTCTTTATATTTATGTATTGCATTTTAAGCAATGACAAGACATTTAGAACAAAGAACAATAAAAGACTTGAAGACAAATGTGATTTAAAAAGAGTGCAGCATTTAGGAATAGGAAGTCAAATAGAAGATAAATAAGGGGTGGATGTACTTTGCCATACAGGAACACAGAGCCGTCTGATTTTCTGTTTTCACTCTGGTGGACCTTTAATCCTGAGGTGTCGCTGACATGCTTTATACTTTGAGCTTTAGAGAAACACGTAATACCCTTCACACGTTCTCTCTGGCCAGCTAAATCTACCAGTGCTACCCTGACACTTATTTTGTATTCTGTTAGACGTGTGATCAAGATGACGACGAGGTGGAGATCGCTGTGGACAACGCAGCCTTCATGGACGAGTTCTTCTCTCAGGTAAATGTCACCATCAGTGTATTAGTGTGTCGAGGCTCTGCTTCTTACACTGCTTTGTTTTTTTTAAGGACCTACATAGATACATGTTCTTTGACTTTGTTGTTTGCGCACATTTGAGATTTGTGTCTGTGTGTTTCAGATTGAGGACATCAGGAACAGTATCGATAAAATCGACGAGAACGTGGCTGAAGTCAAAAAGCTTTACTCGGTCATCCTGTCTGCTCCCACATCAGATCAGAGTAAGACACTTGACCGCCACCACCAGCCCTGTTTTCTGTTCTGCAAATTTACTCATTTGATGCCACTCTTTTGCGAGCACATTAAGGATGTTGTCTCTGCAGATACTCAGCCATTGGATAAGGGGAAAAAAGAAAAAAAAAAAAATCCTGTTTCTTTTTACTGATGTTTTCTGTTCTTCATTTAATGATATTTTAAGAAGAGAAACTCCATGTAACCACAGATGAAGCAACCATTTCTCATAAAATATATTTTAAAAATGCTTTTTATCATCTTGTATCATCTTTAAAGACAGGGGGTTGGGGCTGTACAATTATTTGAATGTTAATTATGATCACATTTTTGGCTTCCCACAGCTAAAACAAGATGATAGACTGCAATATTGACAGCTATAGAAAAATGAACATTTAGAAAACAGTCTGTGTTGTTAAAATCTTTTTTTTTTTTAAAAAAAAACTATCTTGGTAAATCTGATGCTAGAATGCCTTGTTTCGCTCTTTTCGTAGTCTCACACTTAAAGTGAGTTGCTGCACTGCAGTGACTACTTTTTGGAGGCAAGAGGCTTCTCTGTGCACAGCTGCCGAGCTAGCATCTACGATAGCCTGCATGTGAGGCGTTAACGGAACATCCGTAAATTGTAGAGTCTATGGATAAGCAGATGTTCAGCAAGTCGGGCGTATTGGATGCAATTTCATATAGATTTTGCCCCCAGGAGATGCACTGAGTTGAGAAGAGAAGAACCTATTTTTAAGTCTTATTTTGATGCCAAGCTTTGTACATTAGCAGAATTGTAGCACCACATGGAAGTGAAAGCAATGTCGTTTGTATAATTGTGAAGGTGCGATAAAAATATTTTGCCCCCAAAATCAATGAATAATTCCGATTAATCAAAATCATTAGCATTATTGCTATAATCATGCAGCCCAAATAGAGGTCATTCCCTTTAAAATAAACATGTCCCTTCTGTCCTAGAAACACAGGATGACTTGGAGGCAATCACCAATGACATAAAGAAGATGGCCAACAATGCAAGAAACAAACTCAAGAGTGAGTCTGCTTCCCATTACAACACACAGTGTCGTCCAGAATCATTTTCATGTTTATCGGCTTAAATCATAAATGTTTGTGAAGGATTAAAGAATGATGTGATTTATAATGATTTTAAGCTGAATTTTAAATCAGTAGCTTGTTTTACTTTGCAGCCATCGAGAGGAATCTGGAATCAGAGGAGCAGGAGAGGGTGTCGGCTGACATGCGGATACGTAAATCACAGGTAAATTACTTACATAAGACGTTTCAGGTGGCCTTTAGATGAAGCTTTTTTGTGAGCTTTATTGACATGACCATTGTTGAGCTAAAGAATAGGAGAAGAAAAGAAAAATGAAGTGTAAAAAATGGCAGAGAGCGCTTTTAAAACATAGCTGCCATAGCATCTTTGTGACATTCATCAAAGATGTCATTGTCTTTAAGTTTGTGCCTCAATTACATAGAAATTTGCCTACAAATTGTCTGTACATTCAAGAAGGTTTTTTTGTGCACTTGTGTGCTTATTCGCTGTTCTCCTGTTGTCTCCCAGCATGCAGTGCTGTCCAGGAAGTTTGTGGAGGTAATGACAAAGTATAATGAAGCTCAGGTGGACTTTCGGGAGAGGAGTAAAGGACGGATTCAGAGACAGCTAGAGATCAGTGAGTGACACCAACATACACAACAACAAAGACAATGTGACGGTCCCATGGTCTTCTTTATCATTAACCCTTTCCTTTCCAGCTGGAAAAGCTACAACGGATGACGAACTGGAGGAGATGCTGGAGAGTGGAAATGCGGCTGTGTTTACTGCAGGGGTAAGAGTGCTCACCCTAACGTCAACTTTGCCTCGACTCTGCTCACAGTGTGGTTGAACTGTGAAAGCTGTTAGTAGCTCAGTGAAACCTAAAAATGCCTTGTTAGAGATAATTTGTAGTGCTTGTGATTTGGTCTGATAGAGTCAAGGTCAGATTGGTTACTTGGAACTAACAGACAGCTCTTAAAAAACACGAAGGAAGGAAGGAACATTTTTTGACTTTCACTGAATATATAAGGATGTGTTATATTTTGATGCAACCAGTGGGGATGGGGTGCAAGAATAGCAAATGCTTTGTTTTTGGCTGCATTGAGCATCTAATAAAATGAGTGCAAAGTGCATTTTAACTCGTGAGCAAGCTTCTCTGTGCCCACACTGATAAAAAGATGTTTGTTTCCAGCACAACTAGGGAAGAATTTCTTGCACAAGGACACATGACTCTACTTGATATTTTTAGAACTGTCATTTAGAACAGTCATTTATCACTCTTTACAGTTCCAGTGCCTCATGTTGACCACACTAACTGCAACCAGTAGAGATTAGAGGTGATTCACCTGCAAATCTTCATGTGGACGCTGTGGCTGAGACATCATGATGACACCGTTGTGTTTTCCTATCTGTGGTTGTGTTTTTCCTGCGAGGTAACAGTCAGCCTCTCCTCTCTGCAGATTGTGGACTCTGGGATCTCGAAACAAGCCCTGAGTGAGATTGAATCCAGACACAAAGACATTGTCCGTCTGGAAAGCAGCATCAAGGAGCTGCATGATATGTTTGTAGACATCGCCATGCTGGTGGAGAGCCAGGTACACTCCTGTACATCCACCTGCCCTTTATTTAGTTCCAGTCCATTCATTCATTCATTCATTCTTTGAATTCATCCATAAAACTTTTCCATGGCCTTGAGTTCATTCCTGCCTGCATCGAGCTCATTTTCTCCACGTTATTTTTCTTCCTGTCTCTGTGGTGGTGTAACTTTCATTCTGCATCTGTTTGCTCTTTTCCAGCTCCATGTCTTTCTCTCTTTATTCGCTTCTGCCACTGCCACCTCCATCCCATCACCCAACATTAGTGGAACCATCTTGTATGCATTTATTAAGATGTAAAAATTAAACCTCATAGTTCACATCAGAACCGACTCCACACTAGTGACAGTACACATTGTGATACACTGTATGTACATACATACATACGTATAACCACATATTTCTTGCTGCTTGCACCATGCTTTCTGAGGGAAATGCTTGTTTGAGGTAAGGGCTGTTGTCTTGCACACTCTTGTTTGTTCTCTTAATAACTTTAATTTCTACTTTTGAGTTGGAAGAGATTTGTTCCACTAAACATTGTGAATTAACATAAATATGAATAATTATATGAAATTTACTCTAGAAATGAAAACTAAATTAATAAATAGTTAATACTGAAGCTGGCCTAAGATCCTCCATGGAGGTCCTGACAGTATAATCAATAGAAATTTTAAAGTATTGCCCAATGAACTAATATTCGATCTGCAACTAGTGTAACTCCTGTATGTATTTAAACTAATCTGCTGTGCTTTGTTTTCCTCGTTAACTTGCTTTGTGTCTTACTGACTGTTGTATGTTTTTCAGGGTGACATAGTAGACAACATAGAGCAGAATGTATCCAATTCAGTGGACCACATAATACAAGCTAAGGAAGAGACCAAAAAAGCTGTAAGGTACCAGACCAAAGCACGCAAGGTAATGTCGATTTGCCACTTATCACACCGAATCTCGATGTGACATCTTCCTGTCTTTTTCTGCTTATTTTCTGTTGCACTTTTCACTGTTAGTCACATTGAAACTACACAGTGTGCTTTTAGGTCACCTCCCTCGCACACATCGCTGTTCATACGCAACTGTAGCAGCCTGCGTGCCTCGCTTTTTGTTTCTTTCTCTGTTATTTTTCTCATTTCGTTTCGCTGCGTTTTGTCACCTGACGCTGTCCACGTCAGGGCGGAATGATCGACAGGATTGAGAGCAACATGGACCAGTCAGTGGGCTTCGTGGAACGAGCCGTAGCAGACACTAAGAAAGCCGCAAAGTTTCAGCAAGAGGCTCGCCGTGTGAGTGAACGTAGTCCAAAGCAAACGTCCGGTTTCCCAAAAGCAGCAAAAATAGTTTTACCTTTTTGTTTGGCATATTCAAATTCTCACAAAGATGCAAGAGATACATAATACATAGTCTTAACTGGACATCACAGGATAAAGACAGATTAAAATTCAAGTTCACAAGCCTGACTGCAAATTACAGTATAATTATAGAATCTGTGTTATTCAAGTGACCCTGAGCTGATATGAGCATGTTCCAATGATGTCCTCTGCTTCCTCCTTTCTTCAGAGTTGAGCAGAAACTAATGGTTATAGCTGAAATTACTCAGTCAGGCTGTGTTTTAAAACTTTTGCATTTTATTTATAGGTCTGTGCTGCACAGCAGGGGAACTAAGCACAGCGCTCAACAAAAAAAAAAGGTTCCCAGTACAAATGTTTGTTGTAACAGAATTGGACGTATCTTGGTCAGTCAAATACATGCAAGTCCACATTCGTAGTAGATTACACTGTAGTGTAAATGTAATTTTTAAGTTAAATATATAAATATAAAGGTGGAAATGATTGCATTTCCTATTTAAAGAAAGAATGCTTTTGGGAAACCGACTTGACAACGTGAAGACCGTCCCCGCCATCAAGACCCTGACCTTCACCTCGATCCTGACCTGTGGTGACTTGTCGTGATCCCCAACTCTCCTGCCTGCTCCTCCACCAAGCCTCCACCCTGTGACCCACCAGAATGAAGACCCCCTCCTACCTACTCAGACACATACACAAACTCACTGAAAGCACCCACTCTCTTTTCTCTCTGTCCTTTCTCTTCAGCTGTAACTTGAACGTTGTCTTTATATACATCTGGCCGATGGCTACGGCTTTAGCATTTTGTTTGTGCTTCAAGATATTATCTGCTGGCTTCTTGCTGTATGTGGAAAAACTTTTTGTTGACACGAAATCATAAAGTCAACATAGTTGTAATGAGAGGAAACTGGTTTATCAGACTTGAGCAAGACTGATGTGCAGAGTTTGTGTGGTTTCCAAGCTGCAAAGATAATCCACGATATCTGAGACAGCCATTGTTGTCCTATACGTCTTACCTGGTGCAAAATATTCTGTATATTGTACCATGTTCCTGGTGTTGTTTTCCACTCTGATCGGAGCTGATGGTACTGTGTGTATTTGGTTGTTCCCAACAGAAAATGGTGATAATAGCGGTGGTTGTGGCGATCTTGCTGGCCATACTAGCTCTCATTATTGGGCTCTCAGTGGGATTGAAGTGAAGCTGATGAACTATTACAGTATAAGGAGAGCTAAGGGTGAGTAACTTCGGAGCAAATACCTGCTGTAGCACCACAATGGGTGTGGGTATGAGACATGCTTCGGAAAAGAGTTTGCACTTCCCTTCAGGCTGAGTGTGTGTGTTTTCTTTCTATCCAGGGAGCTTACTTGAGGTGTGTTTGTGTGTATTTGAAGTTCTTGGGTGTGTGTGTGTGCGTGTTGTTTTTTCTGCAACACTTGCCTCCAGTTACTGCTGAAAAAGCAAAGCCATGCTGGTGGTGAGTTAGTCGCTCCCTGTTCCAGCTGGTGTTCAGTCTGTGGGCTCTTTTCAGTGCTCCTGCACTGCCTCATTAACACTATTCTCCCTTTGTATCTCCCTCTCTGTAGAAGATGATGATTATTGGTGGAGTCTGTGCTGTGGTTGTTGTCATCCTCCTCATCGTCATCCTCACACATACAGCATAGAATGACTGTGTATTCATCATCCTCTGCATCCTGTTCTCCATCAGCTGGCCCAAAGAAAACACCGATACCAATCACTCCATATGGATTTTATTATATTAAACCTGCAGATGTGCAACCCATTCATTGAAAAAAAAAAAACAACAAAAAAAACGCTGAGATCTGGTGTTACATTTGACCTCTTGAAAGAAGAAGAAGGAGGTCTGTTTGACTCCCTCAGGTTTGGACGTTTTGAGGATGCTCTGCTGCAAATGAGGAACTAAAGCTGACATTAGGTACAATACCTGTATCTCTGTGGAGGCAAAAAGGGAACTGAAAAACCATAACGCCACGTAACGTTTCTTTGTTCAACATTTCATGCCAAAGAATCAGTCTGGAAGTGTTTGTCATCTGTGATTTTAACTCCTGGGGAAGTCGGACACTTGTCGAAGCACATTACCTCCCTAATCATTAAACCTCGCAATTATGAGCCTTGACACAGTTTATGATTGAAAAGTTTGCCACTGAATGTTCACTGCTCTGAGATTTTGTTGGTTTTGGGGAGTTTGAGCACTTTTACATGTCAGAATACATAATGAAACTCAAATTTCTGTAATTACCATGTAAATAATAGAATTACTATTGGTGCATCGTTGACATCGAGCCCTGAATGTGGCTCGGATCTTTAGCTTGAAGAGGACTGGTGTGCACTCTCCTATGATTCTTCAAGTTAATTATTCAGTCATAATTTAGTTTTTTTTTTTTTTTTTCATTTTAAAATGTGAAGGATGGTGCTTATGGGAATACATTTCATGAACTCGCAAAGAAAAGACAGGCAAGTGGGACAAATACATGGCTTGCTTGCAGAATTATGTAAACGCTACAGCATATGGGAGAAATACCTGGAAAAACATTTACATTGTTTAAAATACTGTAAAAACACAATGTTGTAATGTCAAAGGGTTTGTAGCGAGGCCGGTAGCAACACTAGTGGCATGTTCCCATAAGTGCCTGAATAGTCTTCGTATTTATTCTACTTTTTGACGATGTGTTGCCTGTGAAGACACATAAATGGACACTTTAACCTGCAGTACGGTCTGCCTGGCTGGTGGCTCTTTACTGTTAACTGGCTTGTTTTAGATCTCATAATATTCACATACAACACAGTTGTAAGTTTATTAGGCACAGCCCTGCAATACATCCTGCGATCATGAAGGGATAATGTTCAGTTTTCGATAAAATGGCTGTGGTGATAAGTTGGCGACGCAATGCTTGTTTGGCGATCTACGTTGTTTGTAATATTTAGTTTGCTCTCACTAGTATTCATGTGATGAATTAGAACTGTATAGCAGTATACAACTTTAACAGCCCAACAAAATATAACCTCCAATAATATCAATAATTATTAATATCATTTATAGAAATAATAATATTAAAATATTAAGTTGTTAATATCGAGAATAGTTTCAACAAAAACTGAGCATAATATTCTAAGAATGCTCATTGTTATTATTATTATGAATAATGTACATCAAAAACTGTAGATTGTTTTTTTTTTTTTATCCATATTTTTAGAAAGCACAGTGCTGAAAATAATTGTGATACCTTTGTCTATTCCAACCAGAGTGTGATATATGGTTTTATATAAATGTACACATATGTTATCAGTAAATAAAAACAGGCAGATGAAGGCGGGATTTATTGCAGGGCTGTTGCATTAAACTGCATTAGTCTTAGCAGAGTGCACCTAATCGTAGCTAAATGGCTAAGTTCAGTTGTGGTTGGTCACCATCATTTCATCAGGCCGTTCTTTCCTGGTAGAGGGAATGTGTCACATGGACGGTTTACAGTGGGAAGGGTTTCACCGTGGCTTTAACGTGGTAATTAAAGCAGGTGATTGCAGCTGTGTATGTGAGGATTAGATTAAAGAGACTATTTGAACCCATCATTAATCGACTGAGGGATTTGTAATGTGACATCTTGGTATCTTTTAGACCAGAGTCTGAATGTTTCCTTTAAGTCTGGTTGTGCAGGGGCCACTTCTAAGTAAGAGGCCCCCAGCAGGGCCGAGTTTGAGCCACCAACACAAGCTGCAATAAGAGAAAACTAAAGCTGTTGTACACTGTTTTAAGTTAAGTGCCAATGATTTTACGAGAAATTAAAGATTTTATGTTTTTTATTGACTGCTGCTTGCTCACTGTTTCTTTCCTGTCTGTCCTGCTGTTGTTTCTGAGTAGCAGAAAGTAAATATGTAACTACATTTTCACACTTTTGGACGACTGCATGGTGCGGAGGAGCTGTGGGAACGTGTTTTATGGAATGGTAGGTAGCAGCTGCTGTCAGCTGATGCAGCACGTAACCATCGTGTTGCAAAGTACAGCTTTTACAGACACAAATGTACAAGAGGAGGTAAGTTGTTTCACCTTTTTCTCTCTTTACACACACACAGACACACACACACACACCCCAACCTCTGTGCCCCTGTGTTCTCCTTTTGCTTAATCATTTCCTCAAACCAGTGTCCGTAAATGTGAACAAATGTTTTGTGTTGGCTCCTTAAAGGCCTAATTTCTCTGACTGTTGTGTTGATTAATGTGCATTTTGGATTAAATCTCCAGAAAAAGATGATGATTACGTTGTGCTGTGCCATCATTGGGATCGTTGGGTTCTCCTATCTCTACAGCTTCTTCTCGTAAAAGGTTTTACACAGGTGAATACCTGCACCAGCCTTTTAACACTACTATACATGCTCTGCTTCCACACATATCTAAAAATTGTCCTTTTTTTTGTTGTCTATGTTGTTTCTAGAGATGCAGATTTCTCCAAGATGAAGACCATGTCCTGAGGTGCTCCCCTACATCTGTCCTGTGCACTTTCCCTTATATTAACTATTTGAATTCCATTTATTTTCTTGCTGTATGAAGTGTTCGAAAACGTGTTATAAATGTGTAGATTTTTCTCAGTTTGCTTGTTGGCAGCCAGATGGCTTTGACATGTGACTTCTAATCAGACTGAGCCGCTCTGGTTGACTGTGCTGCACCGCCTCCTGGTGGCGCATTTAAGAAACTGTCACATTTAGAGAAATACTAACTATCGGGACATTATTTCTAAGGATTCGTTTAAACTTATTAAAAATGAATGAGCTTTTTTTTTTTTCTTTTTTGTGCTATCCAGCTTTTAAAATGATTTGCTGGAAAAAAAAATCCAATCAAGTAGTGTTTTGTTTGTTGTCATCATTTTACTAAAACGTGTGTGCTTTTGTTGTGTGTGATCTGTGTGTATGCTGCTGGGACGCTCGCATCGATGGTCTTTTCTGCACCAGCGGCTGTCACTCGCTCACTGGCTGTCTGTCAAATCAGTAAAGCCTGTTATGTAATAAAAGATTTCTGTGTACCAACGCGTTGTGTCTGCTTCGCTTCCTGTGTGCCTGGAGGAACCCGCAGCCTCCTGATGTTGCTCTCTCAGCATCGACCGTGTTGAGCCTTTAACTCCTCTTGTGTCAAAACTGCAGTTTAACGTGTGACGATGCACGACAGAGCATCTCTGAGTGAGAAGCTTTCCTGACCTGGTTTCATCCCCCATCTCCTGTTCCTCCTCACCAGAGGCAGGCCCGGCCCAGCAGCGCTGCGAGGGGCGGAGTTTGCACAAGGGTGCGTTCGCTTTCTTGCTGCGGGTTTGGAGGATAATCAGGATTGGGAAGCATTAAGATAATAAAACTTTATTGAGCAGCACAGGAACAGACAATCTAGTGAGGATGCGGGTTAGAAAAAAAAAAAAAGGCTTATATGAATATTAAATCTAGAAAAGCTGTATACAGTAGGATGGATCAGTGTGGGTAAATGAAATGCATGCAAGAAAACATATTTATACAATTTTTTAAAAATATTTTTTATTTTAATTTTTTTTGCTTTTATACCAAATTAATATAATCAAGACTTATATAATATTGTTTATATGAAACCATAATAAATGCATTACAATAAAAAGCACAACATTACAATTTTGGCTTTTTAGTATGTCAACATTTTGATAGTTTGATTTATTTTAGGTAATGTTTCATAATTTATTTTTTTTATTGATGGCACTACATTTGTCACAATCAAAAGTTTTGTACGATTCCCTTGTATTGGTGTAAATTAACATCCTCATTTATTTTTTTTTGTTACCATCCTCTGTTTTTTCACTGGCTTGTAAAACACTTTTAACCTCGACTTGATTCGAGGAATGCAATATGATTAAAGATAAGACAAAATAAAATAATGCTCATTTTCAAAAATGAAGGGACATTGGTTGGAAAAATAAAAAATGAACAAGAAATATGCATGAGCACTGTTAATATTGTACAGTCTTCCATATGCAGAACTTCAAGTGTTGCACAGTTTCCACTGAATGTGGAAAGTAAAGATATTGTGTAAGACTATTTTATATAGGAAATTATTGATGTTGCAGAGAGTGCTATTGCATAGACTCCTCCATGAGTAGAACATACTGACAATACACATATTCATGTGTTTGGGGAAAAAATGCAAAGTTTGATTGACTGGTATGACAATACATTGGCAACACAGGAATAACAGTCGGAATGTAATGTTACACTGTCAGGTAAGCTGTATATTAAAATAATGCAACGTATGGCTTTAGAGGTGTAAGAATGAAAAGTTACGACATTTGTCCATGTCTCTATTTTAATTTGATTTCTTCAAGAAAAGATATAGTCAAGGATAACTTGAAAGCAATTATATAAAACAAATGTAAATTAAGCATAGTATAAGTATATAAGTATACTCATTTTATTATTGAGTTTATCACTTTTTCATGTTTTTATTTCATTGACATTTTATAATTCATTTATTATACAAAATAACCATCAAATATAATGTTTTATTCCATTGTTTTGGTAAACATTATTCCAGAAGGTGAAGGTTATTTTGTGGAACCTTCAGGAAACAAAACCTGAGATGGTTAATCTTTTTTTTTTTTTTTTTTTGGTTTGTTTTTCAGAAGACTCTCTGGGAACATTTCCTAAACTTGAATAGAATAGAATAGAATAGAATAGAATAGAATAGAATAGATCTTTATTGTCATTGTTAAACAACAACGAAAGGCAGTTTCGCAGCTCTTTAGGTTAGCAGCATACAATAAACCGAAATATAATATAATAAAATAAAAAATATTTAATAAAATGAAAATAAAATTGCACTGTGTACGTACAAAAATAAGAAAAAATTACTTTGTGTCAAAAATACTGCACTACTATTAAAATAGTTGTGCTGTAGTTGTTTAATTCCATTATTTCAATATTAAAACGTTATTACATACAAATACAAATACAACATAGGCAATTCTGCATAGGGAGTACTTTTGTTTCTTTTTTTTTCAAATGTTTTTGTACTTTGTAGTTTAGAATATTTATCCTTTGGGGATTTTATTGTTTACATGATATGAATATTTCTTGCACTACTGAAATAAAACTGAAGAAGAAGAACTCCACACTTCAGCCGTCACACAGGGCAAGACAAACCAAGTACACTTGTATGTTAATATATTCTAATCTTGTTTAAATAGCACATGATGTGTCCAATGAGAGCGGCTGTATGCTGATTTTTCCGGAGCAGTGGGGTAAGTGGGGGGTGGGTCACTGGCTTTTTCCTTTTTTTCGGTTTGTGTGTATGTGTGTGTGTTTTCAGACCAGCTGAAAATGGCGGCTCGGAGCGTCGAATCGTTCTAACTTTATCGCACAATAATAAACATAACAGTATACACAGCTGTTATCACATAACATGGGGAGAAACTTTACTGAGAGGCTCCAGACGCTGTAGTTGGGGAACGTTACTTTGACCACTACGTCTAAAAGGAGTTAAAACGCAGAGGTAATGATAAAGAAGCTTACAACTGCCGTATACAGGCTAACGCCAGCTAGCTAGCTAGCGTCAACGATAGCCGACGACTCATGAAAGGGATTGTGAACTGAGCTAGTTTACTGTAGCTGTTAAATCGCGTTACTGGATAGACGCATTGGTCGTGAATATTCCTGTTAAAATGCAGTCGCTCTTATCGGCACTTGTCTTCGTGCAATGACGCCGTAGCAAC